AGCAACACCACGTTGTTGTATTCGAAAGAAGACTACAGTAAATATTAACCAAGGCAACCAGTTTATAGACCACTGATGTGATTGATCTAGGTGTATGATTATTAGCTAAATTATCAGTTGTAAATTCCGCTTATCATAAGCTTTCTATCAACACATAAATTATTAAAATACGATAAACCGCTCTCATTTTGTTGATCATTTATCATTTTAAATCTCTCCTGCTCATAGTTTATTTGGGCTAACTTATGTATTGTTGTTAATTTTAATTTATTAGTACTTGGTCGTCCGACTTTACGTGTATATTAAGGAATGTCTGGAATGCGGTAACGAATCTTGAACTGATTATCAATCGTCTCCATTATTTCTTTCGAGACTGTATAAGTTAGTATCGGGTCGTCTTTCAAGCATAAAGTAGCTAGTGTCACTTTCTAGCAGTAAATCGAAATTCCTTTGCCTATCGACACTATCAAATATTATAAGAACCTAATGGGGCGATGACACTTGTTGCGCTGTTTGAATATATGATGAGATATTTTCGTCTTTAGAACAGAGGACGAGTGATCCTTAACGTAACATATTACCAGCCAATCCAGGTATCCGAAACATATGCAATCATTTACGTATAGATAGCATACTGACGGATGCTTTTCTTGTAACGCTTGCTTGAATAATTCCCAAATAATTCCCATTGCTTAGTATTCTCTGACCACAATATACTGGACAAGTTCCAAAGAATCAAAAGCACGGTGGAACAGGAAAAGATTACATTCCAGAAGGCGAAGGCAAAGGCAAAAATCGATACAACGTTAGTTCGTTTATAGCATTTGCATGAAAAGCTTCTGGATAGAAATTCACGTGATCGACTAGATTAGGTTTAGCCAATCAGCATGCAGCTAAAAATTTTCTACTACGTTCTCCAAGAATTGATCAAGCGCTGATTGGATAGGAAATTAGATAACAAAATAACAAAACATTTAACGACTGCCCTAAACTGAAATTCGGAAATAATCTTAATGACGGTAACAACGTTCCAATCCTCAATAACAGATGTAAAACTAAGTAAAGTTGATTACTCAGTGGAACATTTGAGTCGATATCATAGAAGAAAGGAAGGATGTATAGTCTAATCAGATAGCGCTAAAAATGTAGTAAATTCGAAAGGTACGAAAACAGCATAAACCAGATTCGTCATTGCTGTCAGTAAGAAGCACGAGTTGCAAGACACTTTTTGAGATATATGTATCAAAGACACAACTCAAAACCTGAGATGAAGCATTTTACAGAATTTCTCAGTATAACACACTGATTTCGTAATCATTGCTAGAGATTTCATATATCCTGAGGTCATTTGAAAGAAACGTAATTTTCACAGCGAAATAAGTAAAGAGTTGCTGCCAGAGACATTCCTGGTTGGAAGCAATCTATCACATCCCCTAGAAGCGGAAACAATATACTGGATTTGCTGTTCTGTACTAACGTTATTCCAGTAATGATACATGTTGGCAAAATTTTATCCGCAAGTGATCATAAGATAAATTGCTGTTTCCTACTAATTTACCCACTGAAAACAACGTTCTGTTGAAGTTTGCAAACTGGATGATGTCAGCAGAGCATAAGAATCGCTCTTATTGGGATGGTTATTCTATTAATAACTCATTGTTACACTGCAACTGTATTCCGCTACAGGAAGACTACTGTCCCTTCAAAACGCATAAGATTTACAGTAAAACATTAACCTCCTGTCACAGAAAGACGGAGCGAAATCTAGAAAACTTTCTGTGTGACTCTACACCTGGAAATTGTTCATTCTCTCACTAGATAAATGAAACTTATGAGTCTGTCTAGCCATTAAATGGCAGTAAAAAGAGCCTTAAACTCTTTAAAGTAGTTCCAAAACTAATTTCTTAACGTCACTTCCGAGTAAACACATGAGTGAAGTTGTAGCACTTCTTTGCTACTCCGAGAAACTCCATTCGGCAAGGTAAACATAATGTGTGATAGCTCTACAGGACGACCATGACTGTCTATTCCAAATCCGTTTAGACGAAACGTTTTCAAAACTATGCATAGTATATCACATCCTGAAATTAAGTCGACGATCAGTTTGATGAGCGAGCCTTCTTATGGCCAAGTATGAACCGACCTAAATATCTCCACTGGGTCTTCAACAAGAAAACCGAGACGACAATCCCTCTCAGATTCCTACGCCTATTAAGAACAGTAGGCCACATAGGAATATGAGAAAAAGGTATCCTCAGACTCGAGTGATGCATCCTACTGTTCAGAAAGAATATAGAGGAAACTGAATTGCCGGTTCGTTGGAAGCCAAAACCGGAGACTCTATATATGAATGCGAATTGTCCAGTGCGGTACCTAGACAGCACTATGAGTCCATACCGAGACATCTATGTTCGTTGTTTTTGTATATTTGCCCACAGTGCAGAATCACTGCGACAAAAAATTAGAATCTTCAAAATCATAGGCCCCACCTAAAATAAACCTAAGAGTCCCCTGAAACAAACGGACTTCACCCAGCACAAAACCGACGGAAAAATTAGCCTCAACGAGAGATGATACACCAACAAAAATACTGTTTATTGTAAATACCATAGTATCTGTTAATATTGAGGAGCAGTGCGTTGGTTTAAGAAAAGGAAACGACAGCACAACAAACCAGGGACTGGGCTGTTTGACAAAATTCACTAATTTCATATTCAAGTGTTGGAGGGTAGGTTACTGGAAAATAGGGCTGTCTGTGATAAATGACGGTGGGACAATTACTACACAATTCCTGGAATGAGCAGTATCCCACTGAAACTATGCCGTCTTCTCAAGGGCCAGAACGTTGCAAAACAGAAGCCGTTTCCGTTGAGGGTTACCTTAGACTCGGCACTAAAGTTTCCGAATAAATTATCCTAACATCTGACAGACCCTCTGTTAAACTGCTCTCCTCGATCCGAGTCAGGCATAACAACCAGAGATCAGTACGAGTGTGGTGCGCGCTACTTATAAGTAGTATATCATGCGAATGAAAACGTAATGTCTGGCAGCAGAAGATGGGGGAAGATGAAGGAACGAAGAGCGCAAACACAATGGGATTTGTATGAAACACATGAACAGTGAAATATCGGACAATGGATTGATGTTTTGCAACAGGAACAGTCCAGTTCGATATGATGGATTGATATTTTGCAAATTAACGATTTACGATATGGTTTTCCTATTTTACTAATTAACTCTGTAATTTGCGATAAATACAATTCGGTTGCCCTCACCTGTTTTCTCCTTCACTACACGAGCAGCTGGTAGGACATTAAAAGGCATCCAAGAGCAGACCACTATGGTAGTTCACGGTGTGCACGAGCTGGTTAGTGGTAGCATGGATGAAGCTCACACAAATGACGTGCAACAATGGCAATGGCTATGGCTAACACGTAGCATGGCCCTTCACACCATAATGACAATTAGCACTTCCCGACTGCTCCGTCCATCACAAAGATAGACTCTAACACTTTTGATTATTCCATAGGAGTTATATAAGAACCAGAAGTGGTCTCATATTGGCATGCAATACATAAAGTACACCGAATCATCCTAACATGGGCACCTTTCCAAAACATCGCCACCGCACCACTTGAGGTTGTGGCACCTCACATATATCTTGTACTTTTATCATTGTTGAGCTTGTATGCGCATGCACGCTTGGGCATTACTTACCACCTACACATATAGTTATTTGACTAGCTTTATCGATCAACTGTTTAAATAATTCGATGGCAATATCGACTATACTTATTTGAATTAAATCCAAAATTTGTATCTACCACTAAATATTTTTGAATAATAAAGAAATTGTGGCAACGAATCGTGTTCTTTAGCAGCGGTCATCAAGACGGAGATATACGGAATTTCGAAGATAAAAGAAAGTCCAACGCCACAAACTAAAAGTCACCCTCTTTCCGATCTACGAGGAAATAGTTTCCAACAGCTCTCATCACAATATTTCGTTACTGCTTCACAAAATGTAGTGAACACAAACCTGTTTAACTCAACAGCACGACACTTACACTCAGTAACTGCAAACCATATTTTTGAATATTTAAATTATTTTGGAAGTAGCAAGAAGTTTCAGGACTATATCAAGTATGGGGACCGACTATGTTTAATCAATATTCCTTATATGTTGCTTTGGTACGATAACTAAAATACTTATGATACTCGACATACCATTAGATACAGCCATATGCCCGTTCAGCCGGGAGGCCATTTACATCGCTTTGCGAAGTAAAACTAGGGACAGGGCAAACGGTGTTCACTATAGATCCATTAGCATCACTCCGGTTCTGCCATGAATCATTGAAAACGTCATAAATTACGGTGATTCAGATCACCTTGCAACTGGAAATTTTTTCTTTAGGTTACGACATGGCTTCATAATGTGTGTCTTTACTTTGTTGATAATAATAGCAGCAATAATAATAATAATAATAATAATAATAATAAGAATAATCATAGTGATTTATCCTTAAATAGCTATATGCCACATGATACATCAGTTTACAAGCAAGGTCAATAAAAGATTCGTTTTGGTACAACTTAGTGGAAAGTTGCAGAAAAAACCTTCCAAAAAATTTTTGGTAATACCTTTCTAACGAAAACCCTAAATCTAGTCAACCAAGAATTTAGGAATGAAGGAATTTGAAGATATTTTCGAAAGATAGAATGTCGCAAAGTGTGTGATCTAGGCTGACCAGTTGCTGCAAGGGATGCTCAGGAAGATGCACCGAGTGTCAAATCGGTACGGGCGTGTGAATAAACACCTTCAACCAGGGTATATTAAGTAAAATTACAAAACCCATATTCAATGTCGAAGACTTACGGAACTAGTTATTTTAGGTTATTTGACACCAAAAAATAAATATATGATTTTTGGCAGTCTTAATCACTTCGTAGCCAAGTTAATAGAAACATTTAACGGTAACGTAATAAGTTTTAAGTTTTATGGGTTAGTTCCACAACTATTTGTTTAAATGCTGCAAACATAGTTAATATGTCTCCACAGTTGAAAAGGTCGTTTTATGCTGTATTTCCTTAACAATTACGGTTTATGGCTTTCAAAAAGGTAAGCCAAAGGAGCATCTTTCAATTTTCCAGTTGTTGTACACCTCCCACACACAAAGCAGATTAGTAATTGTAGAAAAAGTTAGTTACTTTGAATCCGATAAGTTTACCGAACTGTGGGACACATTTATGTACCAAATGTTTGTTCATTAACTTTTTTTTGTATGAGATGCCGTCGACTGGCAATAGACTTTGATACCTTGCAACCAAGAAGTCGACGGAAGCCGATCACGGAATGAAATTAGTTCATGTTTGAGGGTTCTATCTAGAATGCAAACCATATCACTTGTCATAGTGCCTAGTTATCATTATCTTGATAAAATTCTTCGACTATAAATGCTGCTCTGGTGCCTTGAGCCCTTTAAACCTAGATCATCGCCAGAAGTATCTAGTTTCGTCACTGATCAATATGTATCCAGTGCTTTACTCGTAGGTTGTTACACTAACTCTTTTTTTTACTTAGTGCATATGCACATTGGTAGGCACAACGTTATTTCATAAGACTGGCAGGACCATAAACCTGCTTTCAACCGTGGTAATTAGCGCGTAGAAGTAGTTGAAAAGTCCACATGCCTTGGTAACTGTGTACATGTACACGTATGATAAAAGGCATCTTTGGCGCTTTCGCGACGTGAGTCTTGTTTTACAACGTCGGATACTCAATGTTTTAGTGAGAACGATTTCTTCCTGTGCTTTTGAAACCTGGTTTCTCCGAGTTAGGGATGTTAAGCGATTCTTCGTGTTTGATCATGATTGTTTTCAAAAGATTGCTGACCTCCAGTGGCGGCACTATTTTAGTAATATATAGGTTCGGCAACGTATGTTTCGTCATGGCGAAGATAATTGACCGCTTTCACCAGTTTGAAGCATCGACTTCTGTGGCTCGGACGTGTACTACTAATTTCATCCCAACGAATTCCACCATTCTTTCTCTTCATAATTTCATTTTTATTATGTGCCGCATATATATTTTGGCACCTCGTTGTATCTTTTTTATGCTTTAAATAAGTTCATCCTTGTCACCCCTTGGTGAATTGGTGTTTGGTAAAATTTTGACACATTCAGAAAGCTCAGTTGTCTTCTACCAGTTCGTGTCACTTGTGTAAGCGAGATACCTATCTTCAAACTAAAGGACAGACGTGTTGCGCACCAGTCTATTAATTATTACTGTCTGTGAAATGTGACGTTTGGCTACTAGTACTCGGTCATTGATGCCTTCAATTCGTTGGTTGTATATGTTGGGACCGTCGAGTTGACAATGCTGAGGTTAGTTGCAGAGTACTTGGTGAATATGGTAAACCATTTGACAAGGTAGTGAACTTTTATTAACTGTGATTTTTAAAACATATATTACCTACGTTCATCCCTCGATTACCTCGATGCGCGATGATGATTGGTAGAAGTAGTTAGAATGCTAGGAGCGGGCAAACTATGACATGACATCAGTTTATACAGAAATCGATTGTTGAACTGAGTTATATCGGTCAATCGGATACAACGTGGGACTTCCTACGTACGTGTACCAGATCAAGTTGCTATTAGCACACCAAGATCGAATTGGTAATTCAAATCCCACAGTAGCAGGGGTAATAACAGTCAGTTAAAACGTAGAACATTTCACATGAGTATATAAGTTCAGGTTACCATATCGCATCAGCACAGAGGCAACAGTTAGTTCAAATTCCATAGTGGTATAGATAGTAGGAGTATTAGCGGTGATGAAGAAGATTAGTGTTCGGAGATATTCAAAAAGTATAATTTAGTAAAATAGATTTGAGAAGCGAAAAATAAAGGTGATCGGAAATTCAGAAGATTAGAATTTGAAAGAACACAGAGAATGAGTGCACCTGTGCCAACGCAAACGGTTTTGAGCCATGTCAATCAGGGTTTCTAACCATCAGTCACTCATCTCGCGGGCCCCAGTCAGGTAGTCGACACTTACCGACATGACTTGTCAGTGACTTCGTGGATTTGTGCCATGCTTAGGTTTGATCGACACTAGCTTACTTCCAACCTATTCATACGCCACAAAACAGCTCGACGAGGCGGTCGGTGGTTGAGCATACAAACACATGTCCCAACCACCTCAACTGATGAAGCCTCAATACTCCATCTAATGATCTACCATCCTTACCTAATACTCATTTCCTAACAACTGCATTGCTTAATTGGCCGTCGCAGTATGTACGAGCAATGTTTCGGAGACACGTATGATCGAAAACCAGTAACCTACGAATATCTTCTACTCACCAGCCATGTTTCACAGCCATAAAGCAAGACGGAGCGAACTACTGCACAGTACACTCGTCCTTTAGTCAGCAAACGGATATCTCGCCTATGCCATAGGTGACGCGAGTTGGCAAAGGCCGATCGAGCCTTCTGTATCTGTGTTGATATTTCGTCAGTCACCAGGTCATCGGCGCTGATGAGACCCCAGATAAGTGAAGCATTCTACACGCTCGACTACTTCACTCCATACCATTGTTACATTGTTGCTTGGGGTAGTCAGAAAACTCCGCATTTTGTCAGCGTCTTCACCGAATAGGACTATGTCATCAGCATACTCTAAGTCAGCAAGCGTGTCTCTTGGTAGGTCTACTCCTGAAAATTCAAACGAAGATCATGTTACATCCAGAAGCATGTATATGACAGAGTTAAACAAGAATGAAGAGAGTGGACAGCCCTGACGGACACCACTTGAAGTAAAGAATTCCATTGACAGTTCTCCATAAGCTCTCACTCGACCTGTAGTGTTCGAGCAGAGAGCTTGTATAAGGTCAATGTACTTCTCTGGTACACCTTTTGACGACAGACACTGCCACAGAACCTCACGATCCACAGAGTCAAATGCCGCCCCAAGGTCCAGGAAGATAACTATTGTCGAACGCCTAAATGTGTGTCTGTGTTCCAGGACTTGTCGTAGTGTGAAAATGTGGTCTATACAACCAGTCATTCAGTTGCAACATAGAACTTCGTACGTAATTACATCAGTTCAGGTTGCCATACCACCAGCACATAGACGCGATTGTCAGTTCAAATCCCATAGTGGTAGAGATAGTAAGAACACTACTGGTATTGGAGAAGATTAGGCTCCAAAGATATTATTCAAGAAGTATAATTCAGTGAGATAAGTTTAAAAAGATAAAGGTAGAGGTGTTGCTGAACCCAGAAGATTAGGATTTGAGAGAATACGAAGAGTGGATGCACCTGCGCCATTTCAAACGATTTTGAGCCATGTCGTTCAAGGTCTCTAACCATTGGTTACTATCGTCTCGTAGACCCCAACCAGGTGGCCTACATCTACCAACATGACTCAGTCAACTTGTTAGTGACTTCATGGATTTTCGCCATGTTTTGGTCCAGGTCTGAAACCAGCCTAGTTTTTTCTAGTCTGCTCTTCACGAGCTCTAGTTAGGTGTCTAAGTATAATCGAGGCTAACAATTTAGAAACTATGTTAGACTGATTCCCCTGTGATTGTCACAAGAGAAATTTTGCCGTTTCTTGTAAATTAAGACAATCAGGGATTGAGACCAGTCGCATGGGATTATGTCTAGTTCCCAAGTTCTACCTACGATCTCTGTCAACCTAGCTGCTAAAACTGAACCACCATCCTTAAATATCTCAGGGGTCAATCTATCAGCACCCGCTGCTCTACCTCGCTTTAGATTCACTTTCGTTTTGTCAACTTCATAAAGATTCGAAAGGCTTACGTCGAACTGCCATTCAGGATGGCTGGAGATCATGGGTAAATGAAGTGTGGCTGAAGGCCAGTTGAACTGATCCCTAAAGTGTTCTGCCCATCAATCCAGCATCCTGGGTTAGAAAACAATGACACAGCCATCCATTTTTGAGATAGTTTCGCTAACAGATGGATTTCTAATACCGGTTTCCTTGAGATGTCGGAACAGCTGTCTACTGTTAACTATAGCAGCTGCCTTTTTCATCACTCTTGCTTTCGCTATCCACCACTGTTTGCGATCATTGCGTAAGTTTTTTATCAGCCTGTGCCTAAGGTGACTTCGCGCTTCATCATGTTCAGGGCCTGATGGGATGAGTTTACGAGCGTCTATCAGTTCGGTTGGTGCCACTGAAATCCACAGCTTCTCACTAACCTTGTGGTTTCCACAGCCTTTCTGATATCATTACAACCTGCCTCCGGATGTGAATCGCTTACATGGTCGCCTGTCTTTTTAGTTGCTCCTGAAATATATTCATGGCTCTGCTATCATTAGGTAGAACTCTAAGAGGTTTCGTTGCGGTGTCTTTCCTACGTCCAGTAAGTCGAAATCAAATACGCGTTCGCACTAGTGCATAATCTGAATTTGAATACGTGCCCCAGAGCAAACGATAGTCCTCTATCGGACCTCTCCATCGGTGGCTGATGGCGATGTGGTCTGGTTTTGTCCAACTTTGAGACGACTTTTGATGTCGCCAACTCAAAAGATGATTTTCCTTGTGCTTAAAGTTAGTGTTTGCTAGAAATAGGCGGTTATCTGAGCACAGTTGTATTAGACGGTCGCCATTATCTGTTCCACCAGTCCCCACACCATAAGATCCACCCGTGTCTTTCCTTTTTACTTAGTCTACCTACTTGAGCATTCAAGTCTCCAACCATTATCAGAGCGCTTGACTTTTTGGAAGAGGTCCAAAATCTTTCTGTAAAACATCTTTTATGTCGTCTGAAATGCAGCCAGTGGAAGCGTAGGCGGATACGACGAATAGGCAACGGTGGATGTACCTATATTTCCGAGTCCTTACTGTCCCGTTCGGTCGGACAACGCACAAGCGACTATCAACTGGGATCCAATCTAGGAGAGCTAGGACCCAATGCTTTACCTACGCTATCGAGACCCCAAGAAGCATCATCAGGTCTTCAAGATACGCGAAGAGTAAATCGATTTGGCTGTTTATGTTGATGAAATCGAATTAATGATTTCAATTGGATCCTGTATGCGCGTTTCGAAGATGCAGCATACATCGATGTTGCGAGATTCTTAAGTCCTAGCTAATGAAGCCTGTTGCCTTATGTGACAATGTCCGTACATTAAATGCTCCAAAATGTAGTCTAGAACGGAGCTTCAGGAGACCAGAAATGACGTTTCGTGAACTCACTTCGTTTTCATCAGCCGTACGGGGTGATAAACGAACTTGAGAGGAGTTAGTCGTGAAGATAAGGGGGATCTTAGGGGGCGTAGGAAAATTTTGATTGGGACCAATTCGGTCTCGTGTGCTGTTACGGGTATTAGGGCGGATGTCACTTCCCTGCTGCTCACACCTTGCAAGGGTGTTTTTTGAGGGAACTTAAAAGGAAGGTAGATCAGTGTCGGTCTTGAAGACCTGGCAGCGTGGCCGCAGTTCCCAAGGGACAACTGCTTGGGCCCGGTCACGCATGGCCTTTTTATGAGATTTCAAAGTACTAGCTTCGCACTTGTTTAAAAGCCCTTACCGCTTGAGTCGGAAATCCGTGAGATAGGGTGAGGTGTGACATTTTTAGGGTCGACCTTTTCTAACCCCTTCCTTTCTCTGTGAGAAGTCAGTATCGTTGCAGATGCTTGTTGTCCAAGGTAAACACTCTACTATCGTCGTACTGCTCAACAGTCAGCAGTACAACTTTGCCCTCAAACCTGGAGTTACTACTTTTCGTCCCACCGTTCTCAGGTCAGCCTGCCTGTCATGGTGGGACCTAAAGGAACATATGTTCCAGTCGATATAGTTTGGTTGGTTCATCATGATAGGCTAACCCGACCACCACATCAAGGTAGCAGCTTTGGTCGGGTCATGTAGGTAGGAGGAGACCATCCAACTGGGGTTCGCGTAATTATCTTAACTGATGGTTGGGAAATTTGTTACATAGCTCAGAATTGTTCATGATGGCTAAGTTACATTCATGTTTTGCCTTCCCTTAGATCCTGATCCTCTGACTTGTTTTATCATTCTCTTTACTCCACTAATCCATATTTTGTTTTCTGATTGTATCTTCTATGCCTTAAGTTTCTTATCACAACTATTACTTTTACTACCTGTACCCTTCTATCTTGACCATATCTCACTTCGCTGAGCAAATGGGGTGTGGAGTGCGTGTAGTTGAATAACTTACTTGCACTTCTAACTTGTAACCCCGGCAAAATACCTCGGGGAAATAAAGCGTAATCTTACAAGGTTATTGGGGCTTGAATGTCCTCAACTTGATGCTATTCTGGTAAAAATATTTATCGAGCTCTCAGTAGTTTTCTAAGATGTTCGTTCCTTATTGCAAGTTCGTTTGATTTTCATGAATTATAATTTCTATCGTAGCTTTCGGCGTCATATTGATACTACTGCTTCTTGGCACATATTTTCTGGGGCTCCGTATATATTAATTCATTAACAATTACTGATAATCGTATCATATCCCAATAATTCCACGTATTTGATTTTCTGTTCTAATTTTGTGGTAGGGTGTAGTGGGATGAACGGCGATATTTCTCGCATCCCCATTCAGTCTCTGAGTGCTGTAGTTAGTCTAACAGATATAATTCCTGAACTCCCGTTACCTGCTCCATTAAATGCTGGATCCAGTGTGGAAACTTTGTTGCATGACTCTAAAATATCAATAGATGCCTTTCAATGTCTTCGTTTTGGTCATGACGGACTTGTGGGTTGCCTCAGTGAAGCCCTTGGGAGCGTATGTACTAATAATATGTAAGTGTTTTCTTAACGTTTTGTATATACCTTTAGCGATTTCAAGGAGGGGTTTGCTAGTGACGTAATTGACCCCCATTTACTACCTGAACCACTTGTCAGCTCTCTGAAGAAGCTACCTGATTTTGACAAAAAACGAGGATTTTATGGTCTTTCTTATCCAGTTAATAGTGTTTCTAGTGCATATAGAGTGGAACCTGGTTCATGGTGCCAATCTCTGGATCAACCACAATCTACCGAACTTCATCATTATCCCAATTGTGAGTTTACGATAACTTTCTAATTAGTTTGTAACCATAAGTTTTTATATCTGAAGAAGAAATATGAGGTACGGGTTTAAAATATATGGGAAATATCATAAGCATACCCGGAACTATTACGAATTTTTGTCTCTTTTATCCTGTCTTTGTGTAGTTTAAGTACTAATTCCTAAGATTAAACATCCTTGACTTTCAATTTCATTGACTATGCATACCTAATAACTAATATAAGTTTAGAGACCTCTGGTCATGCTAAATCTTTCTCAGAGTTCGTTTGCAGCTTTCCAATAAAGTAAGTAGTCTTCCATCTCTAGATGATACCCGGTTGTAATTTATTGACTCTTAGGTTATATATCTAACGTATCTTGCTAAGTATTTGTTAGTAAGATGAAAACCTTGTGTCTTTTGTTTTATCTCTACATTTAGTGAATCACCTTTTTTCCGTTCATTTTTAACTCTAATATCTACTGTGAAAAATCATCTTGGCATTGTGAAACGTTCATATTGAAATTTAATATCTGTCACAAAGAATTATTTTTAATACACCAAAACTTGAACGCTCTTCAAACACCGTGGCTCTTATTGTGTATTTTTATTGTTAAGTGCAGTTCGCCAAAACATCGAAGAAAATTCTGTTTTTGTATTCGCTGATTAGTTGTCAAGTCTTTCCTTTAGCTTAATAAATTGATTTCACGAAAGCTGATTCAGCTCTAACAGTAAATTAGGTATTCGGTCTTCAACCTTTGGTTTGTTCTGGAAATAACGTTGATAACCCTCACGAATCAACTGTACATAAGTTGGTGCTCGGTTTTATGAGTTTATTGGGTTCCATTTCATGTAGCATAGTCTTATTTTTCATCTCTTTAAGCGCATGGTCTGGTACAACAGAGCGTCCAAAAAATAGAATGTGTTACACACTGAGTACATTCGAAGAGAGAAAAATGAGTGAAAATAATCAACGTGAACAATGTATGGTGGGAAAGACAGTTCCGTTAACAATAAGACCAGACAACTCGGTTTTTCCACTTACAGAGGTTTCAGTTTCATGAAGGATGTAAAGGAAAATTGCAGCAGAATCTCCATTGGTTTCTGTTCTGAGCTATGCCTGATAGCGTCTGAAGTCACTTGGTTGCACCATCACTCAATTCCAAACCAGGAAGTTATGACGGGTCGATATGTACTGGTCTTATACAATTATTGATCATATCTTGGTGGCAAGCCATGAACTGACCACCGGTATTTCCTATCAGTCCCAGCATTAGCAATCGGTGTACAGTGTAAAATATGTTTAGGCCGCCGAAATCTATGTTTCATGCTGGCAACACCAATTGCGTTGTAGTCATAGCACCTGATCACACATTGTCGAATTTCAGCATGACTAACATGGTGTTGCCGCTGCATATTATTAATCCTTTTGAGGAGAGCGGTGATCAAACCCAAAGTCGTTTAACATTTCCGACTGGGAGAGTTTAGTTAGTTCCCTGGCCTGAAGTTCGACACTATTCTTATAAAGAACTGGAGGTAATTCGTCTTACCTTGACAACTTGTAGCTTTTCGGGCGCTAAGGGTTTATTAAGGAATTCCGCCTCGTGATGTGAACTAGTAGTAACCGAACAAGTAGAATGCGATAGTCTGGTCGATGTTGCTGGGAAAAAAGGCTCCTCTACACTTACCAGAGGACTGATTGTTAATCTTAAAACTAACTTGGTTCGATATTTAGTTGCAACAAACGCGACAGCCTATCTGTTTACATAAATCTTTTTTGGCTGTAAATGTCATCGTTATCTAATCTGTATCCATTAGTCATCCACGTGACCCTTTGTATCTGGATGCCTAGGCTGCGCGTTCAAATCTCCGGTTGGCACTTTAATATCTGTTGGATATACTTTCTTCAGATCATTTGACTTATGGTAAAATCCATCCTTGATTTCACCCGTGCTGCGTTATTTAGGGGTGTAGATGGAGATAACGAAAAGATATCTTTTTCCACACAGGTTTCTTTTCACTATGATGGAGCTTTCTGATCCAATAACAGGATTTCCAAACATTAGATCCGAAGTTAGATCCTCCAATCATCTTTAACATTTTGTTATGTTTATTTTGTGTTTATGTTCTGTACATAAGCATGTTATTTTACCACATAAAAACGCATGCATCTGGCAAGTGGTCTAGATTTGAGAGAATTATTTATAAACCAACCATTCGGTTCTGCTTTTGGTTAGGCACTCAGTACGACATCAATTTTTCCAACAGTAGTTGTCAGACTTATGCATGTGTGGTTCGGGTTATTGTCTGGATGTCCTGACCAAAGCAAATGCTTTTTCAAGATGTTAATCTCCGATCGTTTGACGAGTTCAATCTTCTACGCAACGGATAAACGTCACGAGATGTGGTCTGAACCATTAAATCTTTCCAAGCATCAGTAATGTCACATAACTGGTTTTTATCCACAGCTACTGTTCATGATGAAAGATCATACAACGGTGTGGCAATAATTAGGTACGTGACGATTATAGGCTGTCTGTTTCCGGTTCAGAGGAAACTGCGACCCTAATTCTGTGATTAACCTCATTTGGTTAGTGTGAAGAAAAGATAGTATTAATTAGGAGTCCCATCCATAGATGAAAATTTTTGAGATTAAAGGGACTGGTTGAAATCTACGTAATCTATTCAAAGACTCATCTCTATTGTGCATTACGTTTGTTTGAGAAGCAGTAAGTACTTGTCTTCGAAGACCCAACCGTTAGTTTTGGTAATAATTGTAGTATGCAGTTACAGGTGTTACCCTCTCGGGGTGTAGGTCGCCTATCAGATTAGTCCAACAACTCTGTCCTGGGCTCTCTTTCCAGTTGTTTCTAAGTACTTCCCATTCTCTGACGCTGCCTCTGGTTTTCGGCGAAATGTGTTCTTTGGTCTTCTTGTTTCCTTTACCTTCCACGGTGTGGGCAGCCGGGAAGTGACAACCGCCCTCATACCCGTAACAGCACGCGAGACCAAATTGGTCAAAATCGAATCCTTTCTACAGCCCCTAATGTCTCTCTTATCTCTACGACTAACTCTACTCACACTCCCTTTTCTCACTGCACCGCTAATGCAGACGAAGCGAGATCACGAAGCGTCGTTCCTGGTCTCCTTAAACCCCGTTCTAAACTACATGTTGGAGCTTTTAATGTACGGACATTGTGTCAAATAGGGCAACAGGCATCATTAGCTAGGACTTTAGAAACTCGTGCCATCGATGTATGCTGCGTCTCGGAAACGCGCATACAGGATCCTAGTAAAGTCATTAACCTGATTCCACCTTGTCAAAACGAAGAAGCAGCCCGATTCACTCTTCGTGTATCTGGAAGCCCTGATGCTGCTTCCAGGGGTCTTGCTGGCGTAGGCATAGCGTTGAGTCCTAGGGCAGAATTATCTCTCCTAGACTGGATCCCAGTAGATAGTCGTTTGTGCGCTGTCCGACTAAACGGGACAGTAAGGACTCGTAAGGATAGGGACACTCGCCGTTGCCTCTTCGTCATATCTGCCTATGCCCCCACTGACTGCAGTTCAGACGAGGTTAAAGACGAATTTTACAGAAAGCTTTCGGACCTCCTCCAAAAAGCTAGGTGCTCTGATATAGTAATAATGGCTGGTGACTTTAATGCTCAAGTAGGTAGACTAGGTGAAAAGGAAAGACATCTTGGTGGATGTTATGGTGTAGCGACTGAGAGAACAGACAATGGAGACCGTCTGTTGCAACTATGCTCAGATAACCGCCTATTCTTAGCGAACACCAACCGTAGGCATAAGGAAAAGCATCTGTTGACCTGGCGACCCCCGAAGTCGTCTCAACGTTGGACTCAACTAGATTACATTGCCATCAGCCACCGATGGAGGGGTTCGATAGAAGACTGTCGCTCGTTGTAGGGCACATGTTTGGATTCAGATCATGCTCTAGTGCGAGCTCGTATCTGTTTGAGGCTTACTGGACGTAGGAAAGACACCGTAAGGAAGCTTCTTAGGGTTTTACTTAATGATAATCAAACTAAGAAAATATTTCAGGAGCAACTAGAAAGAGAGTTAAGCAACCATGCAATTGATTCCCATCCAGAAGCAGGTTGGTATGATATCAAAAAGGCTGTGGAAACAGCAGTGATATCTACTAGTAAGGTAAACCATAAGGCTAGGATGAAGCCGTGGATATCAGTCGCATCCACCGAACTGATGGATGCTCGAAAACGCATCCCACCTGACTCTGAGCATGATGAAGAGCGTAGTCAGCTTAGGCGCAGACTTATAAAAAGTCTACGTTACGACCGCGAACAGTAGTGGGTGGCGAAAGCAAAAGCGATGGAAAAGGCAGCGGTGATAGGCAACAGTAGACAACTTTTCCGCCTTATTAAAGAAACTGGTATTAGGAACCCGAATGTGAGTGAGACTATCTCGGAAAAGGATGGTCTTATTATCCATTCTCAATCTAGGAGGCTGGACCGATGGGCAGAACACTTTAGGAATCAGTTCAACTGGCCTTCAGCCACACTTCGGTTGCCCACGATCTCCAGTCATCCTGAATGGCAAATCGATTTGAGTCCTCCCAGTTTACATGAAGTTGAGAAAGCTATAGTAAATCTAAGGGGAGGTAGAGCGGCAGGTCCTGATAGGCTTACCCCCGAAATGTTTAACGATGGTGGTCCAGTTTTATCAGCTAGGTTGACTGAGATCTTAGATAGAATCTGTGAACTGGACGCAATCCCATCCGACTGGACTCAATCACTGATTGTCCCAATCTATAAGAAAGGACGAAAGTCTTCTTGTGACAATCACAGGGGAATAAGTCTAACTAATATAGTATCTAAAATATTGGCCTCAATAATACTTCTTCGTTTAACGAAAGCTCGTGAAGAGCAGACTCGAGAAAACCAGGCTGGTTTTCGACCTGGACGTAGTTGTATAGACCACGTCTTCACACTACGACAAGTTCTGGAACATAGAACGCATTTAGACGTCCTACAATAGTTGTTTTCCTGGACCTAAAAGCGGCATTTGACTCTGTGGATCGTGAGGTTCTGTGGCAGTGTCTGTCATTGAAAGGTGTACCAAAGAAGTACATTAACCTTATACAAGCCCTTTACTCGAACACCACTGGTCGAGTGAGAGCTTATGGCGAACTGTCACCGGAATTCTCTACATCAAGTGGTGTCCGTCAGGGATGTCCACTCGATTGGCTTTTGCCAACCTGCGTCACCTATGGCGTAGGCGTGATATCCGTTCTCTAATCAAAGGACGAGTGTACTGTGCAGCAGTTCGCTCCGTTCTCCTATATGGCCGTGAAACATGGCCAGTGAGAGTAGAAGATATTCGTCGATTATTGGTTTTCGATCATAGGTGTCTTCGAAGCATTGCTCGTGTACCGTGGGACAACCGAGTAAGCAATGCCGTCGTTAGGAAACGAGTACTAGGTAAGGATGGCGGATCAATAGATGAAGTGGTGAAACTTCATCAGTTGAGGTGGTTGGGACATGTGTTACGTATGCCTAACCACCGACTGCCTCGACGAACTTTGTTTTGTAGTGTAGGAGTAGGTTGGAAGAATGTTAGGGGCGGCCAGAGCAAAACATGGCAGAAATCCATGACGTCATTGACTAGTGGACTGAGCCATGTCGGTAATTGTCGACTACCTGGTTGGGGTCCGCGAGATGATAATAATCGATGGCTAGAGACCTTGAATGACATGGCTCAGAATCGTTCGCAATGGCGCCAGTGCATTTATTCTTTGTGTTCTCTCAAACCCCAATCTTCTGGATTCTTCAACCGCTCTAGTTTCGACTCTCTAAACTTTTCTCACTGAATCATACTTCTTGAATAATATCTTCTAATCCTAACCTCTCCGATTACTTCTAATTCCCTTACTACCTCTACTACTATTGGATTTGAATTGACAATTATATCTCTGTGCTGATGTGGTATGGCAACATGAACTGATGTACTCACGTACCAAGTTCTACGTTGCATCTGACTGACTGACTTCTTGTTTCCTTTGGCTCCAAATATTCCTTGCTAGGGCTTGCCTTGTGACTCAGTTAAGTGGTTTCCGTACTGTGTTTCATATCCATTTCCAACGTTTTTTCTTAGTTTTCTTTTAAGCTGAGAACTGTTTTATTTTCTGTCACAGTAGGCTATTTATTATAGTGTCTGCCAAACGGATCCGGAGTATCTCGCGTAGACTACTCGTATCCTTTGAATGATGGTTTTCGTAGTTCTCATTTTCAACTCAATACCGTTCGTATTGAAAATTCCGATGTTGTTGTTAGTTTGCAGTTACTTTGAGTACCAGATGTTCTTAAATTGTAGAAATGTTACTGTCCTTGCTTTTCTGATCCTTGTCTTTACAACTGCATCAGATCTATCTTGTTCTCCTGTCTACGCTGTCAATTGCTTTCGCATAATCAAAGAAGTTGATATAGAGTGATAAGTTCCATTAAATTGATTGATCCACAGTGATTCGTATTGTTGCGATTCTATCGGTACACGATCAATCCTTACGGCGTTTAGGTCTCCCATCAGAATGGTCAAGTCGTTTGTTGGGCAAATTTTGGACGATTGGCTTCCGCCTCTCGTAGAACTGGTCTTTAACGTCCTCATTGTTACCGTTGTTAGGCTCATAGCACTGAATAATGTTCATTTTTATCCCCTCTTTCTTTGTTTTGAAGAAGGCTTTGACGATCCTCGGTCCATGAGATCCCCATTCTGTTTGTGCTTTTTGTGCTACTTTGGACAGTATCAGTGTGATCCCTTTTGTATGTGAAGCATTTTCTGCTTCATGGCAGGAGTACAACAGCATCTATCCTGGAGCTAGTCCATTTTGTCCAGCCAGCATCCAATGTGTATTTCAAGCACCTCCAGGTTGTATCCTTTCATCTCTACAGTGATTTGTAAGTCTTCTGGTCTCCCACATTGTGTGAACATTCCATATCTCTGTGTTGATTGTTGGTCTGGTTCTGAGAAGATGCATTGGTCTCTGGACTCCCGAAGAAACTTGGCTATCACCATAAATTGTCATAACTCTTCTAGATGAAGACCCATCAACTTCAAGGGTGGAGTTCACATGATTTAAATAGTTTTTTATGGTTTGCGATTTTGTAGTAAGGTTGTTTTTCTATAGAGTGGAGTTGTTAATCCAATTTTAGCTCCTATCTTTTGTCCGGTCTTGTTAATGACTGTATCCTTAGAAGGGCTACAGGCGAAGTTTGTATGCTGTCGATCAGGTAAATAAACCTGGTGAGACAGTTGAACAGTAACTGATATCGATAATCTGGAGTACATATATGGTCGTACGTAGTATGAAGGTGACCTAAAAACTATTTTGATCCTATTAACTTATGTACGTAGTTTATTACCAAGTTTTTTGGTGAGATTGAAATGCTTCATAGTAATGTGCAGATATGTAATATCTTATCTACGAGTTATGATAAAATATTTTTGTTTACAGCATTTGAAGAACCAACTGAATCCCCCAATAAAAAGAAGAAAAAGCGGAAAAAGAAAAAGCACAAGTATTGTGATGACGGTGATACAAGTGGAACAGGGGGCGAGTCAAACGCTACCACTCCAGCAGCATGTGATGGTATAACTCCAAATAAATTTGAGGATAATTCATTATCTCCTACTTCAACATATGGTATTGTAAAAGTCAATGCGGATACAAAAAAACTATCTTTAAAAATTTTCAAACGACCTGCAAACGATGGCTCCCAGCCTGTCTTTATGGTTGAGCAACTGGGTGGTGTTGAGCCAGTTAAAAAAGAGAAAAAGAAGAAACGAAGTAAAGAAAAGGATCGTGAACATCGATTTCATCACGAGGTTCGATCAAAGTCAGATATTCACTCTTCTCCGCTGGGAGTGCACGTCCAGCAACATGAGTTATCTATTGATTTACCAACACAAGCACATAATGCCCCTACTTCAAACAGCCCTTTAAGTACTGTAACACCTAATGAAAACTGTAAGAGCTCCGAATTTATCCCTTCAACTTTTAATGAGAGTTGTCAGCTGTCTATAAAAAATCCTTCTCAACTTGACCTATCACTCATAACAAGCGAAGGTTTGTTTGAAAATTTGAGTTCAATGGATAATTTGTATCAACAGCCCCAGTCAGTATCTACATCCAGTCTTCCCAGCACTCCAGCTTCAATATCTGGTAACGGAAAGGTAATGACCTCAATTAATTGTGCTCCTTCTACGTGTACGTATAGTTTCGATACCGCACAAGCAAATGTATTCACAACTAAATCAAACATGTTCTATGAGTTGTTGCGTAGTAATGATCCTAATATAACCTTGAAACATGTTGCAGACAGTTTACCCAATGATTTAGTGACATCCAATTCATCTGTTTGCACAGCCATCCCCAATACATTAGGCTCTGTATGCAACATGATGGACTTTGCTTCTAACTTCCTACAAAATGAAATGCTTCCATCCAATTCGTCCTGTATCAATTTTCCACTTGGCATTGCTTCTTCAGCTACTTGTGATAGTTCTAATGTTCAGAAGACTGGCTTTCCTGTTCAACCATCTAATGCTACTACTTCTTCCTTTTTGGTTGCTTCGCATTTGATTGATTCTAGTCATTCGTCTGTTGTTACTGCTGCAGATTCCACTTTTGATGTTTTGGGTGGCATACTCAATTCTTCTGGTTATGCATCTGTTACGGATGTTAGTCCTGCTGCATTTGCTGCCAATTTTGATATGTCTGGTTTGCCTCCAGACTCCAGTTCTCACCATGTCCCAATGGGGCTCGCTAGTTATTTATCTGCTCCTAATCAAGGTGTTACTAACACTCAAAATCCCAATGAATATCGTACCCAGAATAGAGAACCTGTTTGTGCTGGTCCACATTTATCATCAACAATTACAAGTACTCCTCAACCGTGGTGGAAACGAAAAAGCAATTCTGTGTTAAGAAGACGTAAGTTGTTCGACAATTTCTATATTTGCTCATTTCGTTGCTTTTGATAGTGTAAAATTGAAAACCATTTCACAACTGATCCTTTAACACATTCTCGCTATGTACGTGGCTTTCATTCCGGTCATTGTTTTTAAAGATCAACCGTGTATTCGTTTTATGTGTCTTTTATTTAACCCGTGGTTTGTTCCTTTCGGAATAGGTAAACGGCGGAAAAATGAACTTGAAGATTTGCAATCCTGGACTGTCAATTATCCAGTTAGTGGACCTGGCCTATCGAAATCTACCTCTGAACGCACAAAAGGTCCTGATGAACGTACCTGGGATGATGCAATCGGTTCATATAGCCAGGTTCTTGGTGAACGTGTTAAAAGACGAAAACGAATGGTTAGACAGGGAGGGAATCTCGATTCAGATTTTGTTTTTGAGCATGATAAAGACTATCCAAAGTAAGTGCGTTTGGTAAGATTCTAACTTATTTTAAAAATAGCCTCAGTTGTTATGTTGTTCCAGCAACAGTCAGTATACTTTAGTTTCATTTAGTACTTAGATAGGAAATGCCTAACATTCACAGTTAGTTGTATTCATCAGATTATGCCAAAATGGTCCCCCAAAGTAGGGTGTGGTAATCCGTATTGTGAAGTTAGGTAACGTCTCGGTAATCTGGGAATAATGTGATCAAATCTGTAGGTTTGTAACAGTTATTGTCATCTGTTTTATTGGCTACTATACAGCAAACGAACATGTGGAAACATTTTATAATCTATTTAAGTCGTGATTGTTTAAAATCATTTCAAAGATATCTGTATAAAATGCTCTGTTACATTTTAATGCTAAGGTTTTGATAGTTCACATATTGAAAACACTTCGTATACATGCCTTAATGTTTGCTACTGTTCATTGTATAGCGTGCCTGTTTGATATACCATCATTAAATGTACATTAGAGATAAGTGTGGGTAACTATTACTCATCGTACCTGAATGGTTTGAAAGGCAAAAGTCAAAACCATAAGTGTTTATTTTTTATCAATTTAATTGAGAACAATCGTTACTGAACACTTACATCTTGATGCTGAATCACTGTATGTACAAATGCACGTATTTGTTACGTTTAGCTTGTAGAAAGGAAAACCTAATGACTACCTTCCAAGTTAATAGGTAGCTGTGGGAAAAATGGCGGTGTGGATTTTTTCCATATTCAAAAGATTGTCTCAACTAATTTTTCATTAATTTTGATTCTTAGTGAGGGGGATAGTGATCGTGGTAGCAATGAGCCCAACGGTACAATTGAACTTACAAACGATTCTACTGGAACCAACGAAATTGCTCACAATATACGCGAAATGCGTTCAGGCGCCGCAAATCGTTCGTATGCTGGTATGGACGAAGAAGACGAGGAAGCTTCGACGAGTCAGACTGGCTGTTCAAATGGCTCTTCAAATGCCAGAAAACGAAAGAAGCTGGATGACGACGAACCTTTTGAAGGTATTTTCATAATCATGTACTGTTACTTCCATTCCTAAATCTATCGAGTTTACTAAATGTTTCATTAGGTTTTCCAGTTTGTTTTCAATTTCATTGTTGGTGATGTAGTAAATTTCACGAAACCTGAAATCTTGTCATGTTTTTAAATTCAGCTCGTTGAATTGGTGCTACAAAGTTGAGTTTATTACTCAATCATTGTTGTCTGACATTTATGCGTTCTCCACTTTGTCTACTAGCTAGTATTCTTTGTGATTATACCTACATTATGTTATTGTTTTAATCACAAGGGCTTATCATTTTAACAAACGTCTTAAATATTCTTTTTCGGTACTTTATTTCAGTTTGATTTTTTATTTACAATTATAGTCCGACTGAAGGAACCTGTTGAAGCACGTTTCCCCCATATACGTAAAGCAGGAGAATCCACTCGTAAACGACGTGAACGTGTAAATTTCGGGATTATGACATTGAATAATTTATCTGCTCAACGAAATAATCCGAGGGAGCAAATTGTTGGCGGTGAAACGGGGAGTGTAAAACGATTTCTCAACAAGTTGTCAACTGTTCTAGAATCTATCGAAGAAACAGACTTTTTGAAAAGTTTTGGTGGCATTCCTAACAGTGATGATCAACTACGAAAGTCTAATACTGAAGAAATCATTTCATATCCGGATAAAGAGAGCCTATCAACTGAGGCAATTATATCGGCCGAAGACTTGGCGGAATTTTGTCGTGACGCTGCTAAGTTAAACTCTATAGGTGTTGCTAATCAGATCCCCACTGGTCAATTGCTCAACTTCCTTACTTTGTTGTTGCTCAACATACGAGACGGTTCAAATGTGATTGCTTTATTGAGACCTGTAAGTAGTAGATTACTTATTAAATGTGAAAAGTGTTGATCTATTGAGAGTATTTTTATTGTTTTGTGTATGCACAAGTTTTTATTGATGTCCTAAATCAATTATTTTAATAGTTTCATCATGTCACAGGGCCTGAATATTCAACTTATCGTTTTAGTATGAAAGTGATTAATTTTATATGTCAAATTCATACATTTATTTCACTTCATACCTGCAAAGCCATAGTATTTAAACTCCGGAGTCCTGGGATAGTATCTAGCAGAACGGATTTTCTTTTACATATAATACAAGTTTGGTTAAAGATATTGGAATGTGTTATTGGTCTCTCATAGTGTTTCACAGTAGTTGTGATAGAGTTGGTGCTTCTTTTATGATCAAATTTCTAGGCGAAATTTCTGTCATTTCAATTTACAGCTTAACTATATGATTTTGATATTATTATCAGTTCTTTCCGAATATTATGAAGGTGTGAATATCTAACAGGTGCCTTCTGTTGTTTGGTATTGCATCATCCCATCAATGATACATTTGCTTTTTATCGTACTGCCTTTATCATATATCCAAAATATTCTTCGAACAAATTTACAGGAAGAAGAAGCTGATGCACATGAAAGCAAACTATGGAAAGAGGTAGCAATGGAGCGAGTAATGCGAAGTATGAATTCTGGTCTAACTGCATTATTACTAATGACTTCGAAGGATATGCCCAGGGAAGTATATGTTGAAGATGTTATAGAGCGTACAGTGCATAGTGTCAGATTTCAATTATTCAATTGCATTTACCCGGAATTCGATCCTGCTTATCGCGTTGAAAATACAGCTAAAGGTACAGAAGTCTTTTATAATTTAGAACTACTTCTCTTTCATCAGTCATGTTTCTTGTCATTTCCTTCGATGAATCTTAATCTGTGTAGCATCATAAAACATTGTCTACCTAATGAGTGATAATATATAAAAATTAGATACATTACTAACATATCGAGCTGGCTTCCTAATATCTGGCCTTTTTGGTCAGCATTCTTTTTCGTTATTGTTATGGTCATTTACAAACGTAGGAGCTGACACATGTATCTGTGCAAGTTATCGAACGACGTTAGCGAAGCGATACAAGACAGATCGCGGAGTAGCATAAGTACTAATATTATCTATCCATTATTCTATCAAGATAATGAGATTTCCAATATAAAAGGAGTAGTGGATATGCTCAACTACTTTTTGTTTTTTCGCTATTATTTTTGGTTACTTGATTTATATAAGATGCATTAGTCCGTAGTTTCGTCTCGAATATTTTAATTTAAGATACATGTTTATCGGCGGCATATATGTTTAGTGTTTATTTTTGTCGGTACATCTAAATCTAACAAAAGTAAGACTAATAAAACTCACTGATTAGTGCGAAGATATGGCTAATACATCATAGTTGTTAAATAGGTGACGCAAATCCTTTTTTCTAAGATAGGGACAACTGTCATCTCCTTCCACGATGTTAGGACACTAATTGATAAACAGTTTTGAACAACTCAGTCAGTCTCATAGTCATAGGGTTGTCTCTTTCTTCGAAAGGGATCGAAGATGAGTAATCTTTGCCTGTTGATTTGTTGCCCTTCAAAAGTTGTAGTCCCTTCTACCTCTTTAGGTGTATCAGTTGTCACTAATCATGGAGGGTGGGAGAGTGACTGATGTTGCCGAGTCAGCTGAACTGTACTGAAGTGCACATCCCTGCAGGCGTCAGAAGATGCTGTTGATGAGCATTCCATCTACTTCACAGATTGCTTCACCCATATTAGTCTATTGAGTCAAGGATTGAGAATCAGAGGGAGGACACCAGGTGGCATATTGGCAATAAATGTAGTGATAATTAATGCTAGCCAGCAAAAGACTGTACTCCATGCAAGGTTGCAGTAGGTGGTTACCGTTTTCCGACCTGCGACCAACAAGTAATCATTGGCTGCCCAAAGTAACTTTTTTATGTGCCTTGACGTCTGACCTGAGCATTCAAACCACCGGCTGGCACTACAATATTTGTCAAACATACACTGAACCAAATCTATGAGTGTTACCTGATCTCCGAAGCATAGTGCTACACTAGCGAAGGTTCTTTATTGATTTCTGATCCTTAATGGTTAGTAGTTAGCAACTGTAGAGTAGCTGCAGGTCAGTTGAACTGTTCTCCAGTTCTCCACAAGTTAACTGTCCAAACTGAACTATTTGGAGCCTGCCTTGATCGGTAACCCCAAGAAAGGAGAAACTGAAATGTCGAACATAAGTAATCTATTACTAACAACAGTGACAGTGATTCCTTTTGATATTTGATAACTTTTCAAATTCTTGTTTCTACCTCCGGACTAGTTTTTAGTGTTACACCATTGCATATACCAACAGCTTTTCTGGAAGGCTATCATTTACAAAAGTCATTAAAATTACTTCTAACAGTCTAATAAAACCTAATATTCAGTAAGTTATGGAAATTATACTTAATAAATCATTTGTTTTCTTTCGAATTTCCAGTATATCTTATCGTTTTTTTTTCAAAAAATAGAAAATCAAAGCAGTATAAAATCTAGACGTGCTCGTGAACGCGATGCCCAAAGACCAAAATCTATAATTCATCTGTACCACAAATTAGTGGAAATTGTTTCTAATTTATCAAAGTTGGTAAAAATGCAAAGACTGACAGATAGCTTAGTCCTTACCTTATCTAGTGTTGGTGTCTCCGTGTTCTTTGTTGAAAATGTCAGTGAGTTGCAACTTGCTGCTCTGGAACTTGTCACTGCTATATTCGCCCAGTATGAATCCCACAGAAAGCTTATAATGGAGGAAATATTAGCTAGTTTGTCCCGGCTCCCTTCAAGTAAAAAGAATTTGCGTTCTTATAGGTACGTTTTTCTCTATCTAAAGATTTGAATTTTCTTCCGGATGCAATTTATTTCTCATAGAATTTTTGAACTTAATAACAGCACAAGAAAAAATTGGTACAATGAAGCCAGAAGATGCTATACAATACCGAAGTGTTATAAAGTATCTTTGTCGATTATAAGATAATAAGAATTTGTGTACAGTTACTTATATAGCAGATTTATCTTATTATTTAGTCTGTAATATTGCAGCTTGCGTGGAGGTTATAGTGTTGTCTGAGCATTCAAACTAGTGGCAAGTGCCATTAATACATGTGTCTATTGGTTGTGGTTAGTATGAGGTTAACAAAAATGAATAGAAGTCAACTTTGATAATTGTATAGGTATATTTTCGACTAAAATTGTTTTCATAATCGTAGGGAACGTAATCAGTCATCGCTATTGTTGATCAAAAACAAAAAAACGAAATTAGGAGATTCATTTAATCGGTTAAATGGTATGTAAATTGGACCTTCATCGGTCCTTGAATTCTATGAGACAGCTGATTAACACCTACATTCCAAAGGTTAAATCTGATTTCGTCAAGTAAGATGTCATCCAGCAGTGCTTATCGTCTCTCATTTCTAGGTTCCAAATCTGTTACTCTGTTGTGGGGAGTTGTTGTTTTCAATAACTAATCAATGTTGTTCAGTTTTATCGTGGATTTTTTGTTTGTTAAACACCGAATCGTTATACATATGTTTATTTATCGACTGTTGGTTGTTTGAACAACCGTGATACTTGTGTTTACTTTTGAATAAAGTCAGATGTATTCTTGCTTTTTTATTGTATAATTGTATGTAATGGTTTCTTTGTTTATTAACTAATGGCTCCGTTTGTAAACGCGTATTCTAGTTTATGTAATTATCAATAAATATCCAACTCTTTTTATACACAGAAGTGAAAGTTGTAACTAAAATAACACTAAATAATAATTACACTCACCAATATACATTACACAAACTCCTGGTGAACCATTACAATGTAAGGGAAAATATCTATATTGGGTAAGCTTTTTGGACTGAAATTAGTAGACTCGTGCTTAAGGAAACTATACGGTTCTATAATTTCAAGGATATGAGATAATAGTTATCTGTTGATTTGAAAGTTTCAGTGACCAACCTTAGGTTATTTCTGTGTTAAACTCGCTTTCATCCTTCAATTTGATTTTGCACGCTAGCGTCATCTTACTCTCTGTTTATGTATCTACTTGCTGTCATCGTTGTTTGCTTCAGACGATCTGATTATGCTTTGCTCTATGTACAAACTATGTTGAATGCATTGCTTCGATCTGTTAGTTCACCAAATCAATAGTTTATGTAGTGTAATAAAGAAATATTTGCTGATAGTTTTTAGTGATGATGGCTTTCTAGCCAAAGCACTTTCCTACTTAGTATTTTGTCTTTTAACCGTTTGAACAACAATATTTATCTCGTGAGGTAATATAATATCGAAAAAGTAACTAAACAGTTCTCACTATACTGTCGCTCTTACGATTATGACCATTTCCTGTCTTAGTTTAGTGTTTTGTAAAATTTTGTTGCTGTTAATGTCACTTTATTGTTTTAATGTTTTTTAGATTAAATAGTGAAGATAGCATTCAAATGCTTACAGCATTAGCACTTTTGTTGGTTCAATCCGTTGTAAGTCTTCCTGATCCATCACCTCTCAGCTCAGAATATAATCCTAATGTTTTCTACCAGACTTCAAATGTTTCTGTACCCACCAATGGAGCATTAATTCAAAAAGCAGATGATGAAGTGACAATTATTAATTCCTATCATAATGCTCTACGTACAGCTCATACTTTTCTGTTGGTTTTCCTACGCAAGTAAGTATTGCTTAGTTTTTCCGTTTATTTTAGATCTTGTTTTTTCTAAGTATCTCATTAACTGAGTTTTGGTAATTATTTACTTCTTCCTGTCAGTTTAATTAATTTTAATGTTTTTTCAATATATCTAGGTCAACAATGAAGGGTGAAGATGATTATCGAATTATTTTTGAAAACTTCGTAAATGACCTTCTTTTAGCTGTTAATAAACCGGAATGGCCAGCATCAGAGGTTATGCTTAGTCTTCTTGGTAGTTTGTTAGTACAGCAGTTCAATAACAAGTCACTTGATCAAAATGTTCGAGTTGCTAGTGTTGATTACTTAGGAACAGTTGCATCCACATTACGTCGCGATGCCGTGACCAGCCAGTTAAAAGAACATGATATTGATGCTGTTATTCGTGATCTACTGGAAGGTAATCAGTCGGATGAAGATGAAGAAGATTCTGAAGAAGAGTTGCAAGAAGATGTAGATACAAAAACTGATGATCTAAAGGAAATGAATGGCGATCGTGGATCTAACTCTGAAGTAGACAGGAATAAATCAGAGTCTGATATTCATTCAGTTGGTTCTGCTTCCACTACTGGAACACCAATCCGTCACAATGAGAATGGTTATAGTTCAACGAACTCTAAGTCTGTAACCAGAGTAGTTGAAACCAAATGTTCTGAAGAAAAAGTAAGAAGTAAAAAGACAGAAAACAAAAATAAATATACTGACCCTATTTCTCAGTTGGATCGAGTCCAGGCACTACGTGATGCTATTTTAGACTATCTTGCAGCAGAAGAGTCGAGTCCTACGGCCGTTGTAAGTTTCTTCACTATATTGTGTGATTTATCCACCATTTTTGTCTTAAATTATGGAAGATTTTGTAGGTCTATGAACCACAAATTTACCCTTAATTACAGCCTTCGCTACTGTAATTTATCATTTTGGACACGTTTACATAAGATTCCAATTGACCTGGTTATCCGAGATTTCAATCGCTATCTTGAATCACAAATTTAAAATCCATTTTATCTTATTTTATGGATATCGGATTGTGTACAATGTTTTGGAATATTTACGTCAGTCAAATCCAAATTAGAGTTGTCCAAAAGCTTTTTTGAAACGGAAGATATTAATTTCACTTTTTGTTGAGATGTTATTCCGGTATTTTACCTGTCACATTTCATTAATGTAGGGGAATAAAACTAATTTGGGAACATTAAGAACACCGATTCAGTATATTTAAAGAACATCTACACCAAAAATATCCTTAAAGCTGAGAGTACGCTCTCAAAATTCCGTTTTTTTTAATAGTAAGGGCTTTTGTCTTATTTAACACGTAAGTTTATCAATAATACCGTTCAGTTCAAAACGCGGTTTTACGTAATCAAAGTTTTCATTTCGTAAGCTCCAGTTAGTGAGAGAAATAGTAGGGATGACATCTCAGCCAACACAGTTGGTTAGGTCAAATCTAATTGCCACTTCATTCCATCAGCTTCAGTTTGACTGATAGAAAAGTTGCTTTGTGCACGTTCTCACATACATATTTGATATCAATTTTTTTCGAATAGTAATTTACTTGTTAATTACTCATTTTCAATTTCAGTATGCTCGTAAGTTCTACCTAGCCCAGTGGCTTAATGATTGTACAAAAGAAACAGAACGTGCTCAAAGAAGTGTAGTACAGAAAAAAAGCCAAAATGCTGTTTTAAATGGCAATGGTGAAACTATCTGTGCTACGAAAGGTTTATCGGAGGTGGATCAGGCGCTAATACTGGCAGTAGCAGAGAGAAGAAGACAACACATTTTATCAAAAGTACGTGAAGCCTCACAATCTTGGCGCCAACGCAGATGTTTATGGAGCAATTCATTACCTCCTAATGAGAAAAAGTCTGCAAACGTATGTATTTCTGATTCGAACCAAGAAACGACGCTTATTTTACGGGGCACTTTAGACTATGAAGATTGTTGCTTAGTTTGTCGTTATCTTGCCAGTCTTAGACCATTTTCTCAAAGTTTTGATGTTTATTTATCTCAAATATGCAAAGTAAGTTTTGTAATCAGTTTCCCCCATACTTAGCTTTGTATCTTATTAGATTAATAGATTTTTCAAAAATACATGATGACGCACTAAACTGATTATTTGTTCTATTTACTCGCGATGTAAATAAAAAGTGATTCTAATTCTAAACGTTTTAAACAGGACCAAATTATTTTTACTTATTCCACTAATCTCTGCACGTTATTTGAAGAAGCTACCTTTTTCATAATGTCTTAAAAAAATTTTTCTGACTAGTCTGGACTTCATGAAATTGAGGACTGTAATTTACTAAATAGGATGAGTCTAGTTAGGAGTTTTCATTCTTTTCAGTTATATTTGTAACCTCTGTATCTAAAACCGTTGAAAATAGTCGAAAAATCCATTTCGGAGTTATTATACTTCTGGTAGTAGCTTGGGAAATGAAATAAATTTCCATTTAGTAAAAGCCAAACGGTTACTCTTAATCTGTCCCATTTTAGGGGTCGTCGTAATGTTTGTCTACCTGTTAATGATCAGTTTTACAACACTAGTGAGAACATTTCTACCCTTTTTTGTGAAACGTGATCCATATCAATCGTTGAAGTTACGTTCTATTTTTCACAACGAAGCGATGAAATTTCACTTCATAACTGTGTTCATACTTTGTAATTCTGAGAATCAATTTCAGTGTTTTGTATGTTTCAGTTATTGAGCGAATCATCGGTTGCTGTGCGCACTAAAGCGTTAAGATGTTTGTCGGCAGTAGTGGAGGCTGATCCAAATGTTTTAGCTCGTGTAGATATTGAGCGGGCTGTTCATTCTCGTCTTCTAGATACATCGACTTCAGTTCGTGAAGCTGCTGTAGATCTGCTTGGTCGATTTTTAAGTTGCAGACCAGAGTTGACTGCACAATATTATCCTATGTTGGCTGAACGAATACGGGATAAAGGCGTAAGTGTCCGCAAACGCGTCATTCGAATCCTTCGTGATATTTGTCTTGAGCAACCAGATTTCCCAAGAGTTGCTGAAATTTGTGTTAAAATGATTAGACGTGTTAACGATGAAGAAGGTATCAAGGTGATTTACATTCTTGTTTATTCACTGGTCGTTTTTCTATTTTATCTGTTATATTTTAATATATTATGAAAAGTTTACATCTAAGTGAATCCTATCTCACATATAATTTTCCAATTTGTCATCAAATATGCTTGTGTACAGCACCTGCGTGAATATCGATGTGTTAATCTTTAATTCATCATATAGTGTCGGAAGCGTAGGCGGATACGACGAATAGGCAACGGTGGATGTACCTGTCTTTCCGAGTCCTTACTGTCCCGTATAGTAGAACGGCTCGAAATGTTTTTATCAGCGGCGCAAGGTGACAACGGAATGGCAGAAGAGTTTATTGTGGAGGTAAGAGGGTTATTCGGAGTTGTAGGAAGGATTTGAATGTGACGGATTCGGTCGCGTGTGCTTATATGGTTGTGTGATAATGAGTTTCGGGAAACATTTGACTCAATCACACTGGCCCAGATTTGTATAACACTATTTGTTTACACCTACCGGGTCTGTTATTATTCATGTTGATTTGGAATCCATGTATTTTGAATCATAAGTGGTATTTTCGAATGACCCTGTAGATTTTGTTTGATATTACTTCCTCTTGTTGTTTTCGTGTTGTGGAAAGAACTAGTCTTTTCTGAAAATGTTCAGTTTAACGTTTATTACCGTTTTCTGAAGTACTAATATTATAGTTTGTGAATATGATGATGACAGCGTTCATCCCTTAACTTTTTTCAGAAACTTGTGCACGAGGTTTTTCAAGCAATGTGGTTTACTCCTGTACGTGAAAGGGAAACAGTGAAGCTTCTTAGAAAGGTTATGAATATAACGGATGTCGTTGGTGCTTGCAAAGATACAGGTTATGAATGGTTTGAACAATTTTTACGAACTGTAAGTGTGATTTTTTTTAATAACATTTTAATTTTACGATATATGTGTATTCATTCGTTTTGTGCAAGAATAATTAGATAATTAGAATTATATTTGTTTTCGTGATTCTGATATCCTGAATTCAAATGTGAATTATACTGACAAATGTGTATTACGTGCTACATAATTTGCTTAAGTCGATTTCTTGATGTTTTATGATTTACAGCTTTTAAAAAAGGAAGAAACTGAAAAAGTCAAACCGGTTGAAAAAGCATGCAAACAAATAGCTGATTGTTTGGTTCAAAATATTATGCGATTAGAAGGTAATGTTTCCAAATCATATAGCTTCTTCATTCGATGAATAATATTCTACCTCCTGTTATCGAATTTCATTTCTACCTTAATGTTACACCGTTCAGACATTGGACACAAAATATCCTCATTCTAAGTAAACCATTCAGATAGACAGATACAACGCAGAACTTCGTACGTAAGTACATCAGTTCACGTTGCCATACCGCATCAACACAGACGCAACTATCAGTTCAAATCCAAGAGTGATAGCAATAATAGAAGTATTAGCAGTAATGGACAAGATTAGGGAGCGATGATATGATTCGATAAGTATAATTCAGTGAGATAAATTTAGAAAGATAGGGATTATGAGGAATTCAGAAGCTTAGAATTTGAGAGAACACAATGAATGAATGCACCTGCGCCATTGCAAACGATTTTGAGCCATGTCGTTCAAGGTCTTTAACCATTGGTGACTTTCGTCTCGCGGACTCCAACCAGGTAACCTACATCTACCAACATGACTCAATCCACTTGTCAGTGACTTCATGGATGTGTGCCATGTTTTGGTTTGGCAGCCCCTAGCTTCCCGCCAACCTACTCCTACACCACAAAACATAGCTCAGGTAAACCATTCACCCAGATAGGTGTTACAGAAAACTGTTAACACTTGCACTATGCCTTAAAATATTAATCTCATTAACTTCAAGAGGTCTCTATATGGGCATCAAATGAACAAACACACTTATGTTAGTCAGTTAGGTTGTTAATTATCATCTAGTAAATCGACAGGTTTTTACATGTTCGTTTTGGCCTTTTCTCGATTCTGTCTAGCATACCATTATGTTAGAGAAAGTTTGATCAGATGATGCATACAAAATAAGTCAGTTTTTTTTAATTGATTACCTATTGAAATGTACTAGATTGTCGATCAGAGCTTTTGGATTGGAAGCTTCAAATTTAAACTGTGCTCTACTTATTCCGATTTAAACCACGCTCTTGAAAAGTATTGTAACCTCTGACTGTAAACTGCCTGGTTGTAATCTTGGATATATCATGAATGAGCAGTTCAACGTTCTTGATGGGTGTTACTCAACACTGATTACAGTGATGAATAACAGTCATTTTAAATTATAAGTGTTCAATATTTTGTCATTTCGTTTGTTCAATTACGTCTCTTTAACTGATTACAATGCTTTGTTATTGTTCTTATGTTCCTACAATAATACTTATTCTTTAACACCTGTTAGAAACGAGTGTAAAATTTACTTGACATCGTCTACAAGTATGCTTGAGAAAATGTTTGTTACTACTGATATATTTAGTTTCCTTAACTATTTGCGGTTTTTGATCACGTTTTGCTCAAAAAATATCTGTGATATATCGTTGGTTCATAAATAAATCTGTGACTGTTGTCCACTGGTTATCAGTCGGAAGTATTTCACAGCTGTGTATTTTTGTGCTAGATAACGGTTTATTTGGTGATACACGAATAGCGAGTAATTCTGTATTATTTTCTTTACCAATCAATTTTTTAATGGTGGAATCTAATACGTCCTCATTTTTGACTTTGCTAAACGAAACTGAATCTCAAGACCGTTTATCAAATCACTCGACAGTACTACTTATAGAATTGAACGTATTAGTTGTTGGTATATGGTTTTCTGCATTTATTTTATCATTCCAGAGATTTCTAGTCAAAGCAATCAAAGGTTAGTAGCATGTTTGGCAACACTCCATCTATTAACCAAGATCAGACCAGAATTAATGGTTCAGTATACAATGGTATTACAACCTTATCTGTCCATTCGCTGTAATGAAGCTTCAGATGCCCATGTGTTACACTACGTAGCTAGAATTCTAGAAGCTACGTTACCATTGATGGAACATCCCAGTGAGACACTAGTTGCACAACTTGAAGAGGACATGGTTCGTCTCACTCTACGACACGGAAAAATGGTACTTGAATCATGTGTTGCATGTTTAGGTGCAGTTGTCAACCGTGTTTCAAAGAACTACTCTCTAGTTAGAGATTGTTTCACCCGATTTTTCAACGCTCTTCAAAAATTTCGTAGCGAACTATCGGATGATCCTGAGCGCAAAATATCCCCAACCATTCGCCCTTCTATTCTTCGAGCTCTATTTACTGTTGGTTTACTTTGCAAGCACTTTGATGCTAATGTTTTCCGATCAAACAAAAACGTGAGTGTTTTTTGATCCTCGAAAATATTTTGGTTGAATTCGTAATTTTTGATTTTGATGCTTTATTTCTCATCTGTTTTTTCATGCTTATGAATATATTTAATAATAAAATATACCATATTTCAAGATTTCTCAGTAACCTCGTTTTACTTTATGTAGGTGAATATTCGTGATCAAGTATTCGAAACACTTATGTTCTTTACAGAGCAAGTTAAATCAGACATTGAAATGCGTAAGAAAGCATTGTCGGGGTTAGGTTTTCTCTGTACTCGTCATCACGAACTACTTTGTGGTCCTCGTCTTTGTAAATTTTATCATGATCTTTTACAAGCTCCTTGTGATGAAGCGAATTCCAAACCATCCGACCATCATTTGGAACTAAAGTGCATCGTGTTAGAAAATTTACTAAATTTTTTTCTTGAGGAAGAAAAACGAATGTTAGAAGCTGATGCGAAATGTAAGTATTGACTTTTATTCAACGTATTTTTTATTGCTCCATTTGGACATTTTTGTGTACATTTCAAAACTTGCTTAAGCCATGTTAGTAGGTTGTGGTGAATATGCATTGTTTTCAGATGTTTGTTATGATTTGGTTTCACGATTCACATTGTCGTTCAATATAGTCTCTTCAGTGCACATCGTCTTTGATCGTTTCTTTATATTTCCTAATTTCCTAGGCTTTCACATCCAAACATTTATGAATATGAAGCGGCGTAGCTTGACCATTTTATTTATTGTTTTACTACTTTGATTAAAAACAACCTACTGACATGGATATACTTGTGAGGATCTAAATACGATATAAGCATTTCGTGTCTGTTGCCATCCATCACTATATTTAAGACGATATTGTGAATCTTATGCCGTCATGTTATAAACAAGAATTGAAGTTAGACAACACCAGATAATTTGTTGTAATTAGATAATTAATGCAGTGTAATGACTACTCGTCGATATTCTTCGGAACATCTAATTCATCAGTCACCGTCCTATTCCTGCCTATTCAGTAAATCAAAAAATCTCATCTGCAACGATTATCGGTCTAGAAAAGTAAGCAAAATTAAGCTTCCTCTGTGTATAGATATATTTACTATCGATGTAAATATACTGACTAAATAATATAACTGAAAATAAGTTGTTACTGGATGAATAAAGGCAGTTGAAATGAAGGATTTAGCTTGGGAAGATTTTTATAGTCAAAACAACATCCCTCATTTCAAGCAAATCAGTACTTTTTTAAAGACATCCTACTTCTCAGTTGCAGACTGTACTTGGTTATTATACCATATTCTACTCAACGCGATTCTTCTCTCATACCGCTTAGGGACAGTTTAGTTGTTCATCACAATCTGTGTAAGGTTGTCATTTTTGATTCTACGAGGACATTTTTCTATCATATTACTGCCAAATTTGTGCTTCAATAATTCACATTTCGACTCTCAAATTATTGTTTTTTATGTTTCAGGGAAAGCTAGTCAACATCAAGAATCACTGAAAGAAATGGGGGATATTGCTTCGGGCATGGGTAGCTCAGTCGCTCAGATGTATCTCAAAGATATACTGGAGTCATTTTTTTCACCATTCTTTACTGTGAGGCTCACTGCACTTTCTGTCATAACTACAATTCTCCGTCAGGGTCTTGTTCATCCAGTCCAAACTGTACCCTATTTAATAGCTATGCAGTCCGATATTGATCCGAATATTCGTATTAAAGCTGATGCTCAACTTCAGGAAATAGACACTAAATTTCCGGGCTTTCTGACAGTAAGTACAACATCCCTATGTGCTTTTCACGATTTGCTTTTTATAATTATGCTTCTTAACTTATTTATGCTAACCATATCTAACTTGTTTTCACAGATGCGAGCTGCACAAGGTGTTAACTTGTCTTATCGCCTTCAGCTTGTTTTATACAATGAACTACGTGAAAAGCTGAAGGGGAATTCTGGAGGACCTCTTCAACAAATAGGTTCACCTGAATCATCAAATCTTCATAAATCCACTCATCCAATCAGTGCTCCACGTCGAAATGTGCGTAATAGATCTGAGGCTGATAGTTTGGGCTCAGATGAAAATCCAAAGTGTTCACCACCAACGAATTTCTCGGAATCTCAATCTCTTCTCAATATTCCAGAAGATTCTTTTGGGGCTATTCGCGGTACTAGAGATCCTTTCAGTGAAGTTCCTTCTGCTCTGAATTCGCATCTATATTCAATGCTTAGAAACAATAAAAGTCAACGGCGTTCTCTACTTAATGGCCTCATATCACTGTTCGATGATTCGCAGGTTCGTACTCATTCATTATGAGAGATCTTTTTACTACTTTAACTTCTTATAGCTTCCATAGTTTATCCATTTCAGGTGACTGAGTTTGCAACAATTTATTTTATGCTTCTCGAGTGAGCTCTCGCGAAACGTTCTCTCTTGTTCACTAATCACGAACTATAATCCGTTGATTTTAAAAATTAAATGTAGGACTATCGTTTAATTTTCTGTCTTGAAGGATGAGAATTTCAAAGTTACTCTGTGATTAGAAATCATATACGTGTCGAAGAGTTTATTCTTATTGTTCATCAGAATGATAAATTATGTTCGTTTGTACACCATGAGTTTCCATTTAACTGATTTCCCTAGCATTGTTTTACCTCACAATAGTTTTACGCTTGAGATTCATTCTCCGTATAATTATCTACCAGCTACAAAATTAGATCTTACATTGTTATATAACTGCACTGTCGATTAGCTGGTTGATTAACCAATACAATTGTGTATCTGCATTTTAATGTATTTTATTATAATAGACAATGAGTTTTGATTTTAGGAATGCTTATAAATATATATATGTATATATATATAATCTCATTGACTACGGTTCTGTTTATTATAGAGGATTCCTCTTAGTCAATTGGTATATGTTGCTGATAACCTGGCTCATTTTCCTTATCAATCGCAAGAGGAACCTTTGTTCGTCGTGCATCATATAGACTTGATGGTTAGTATGGCTGGTTCAGGAGTTTTAAACAATGTTCGTGAGGCACTTTTTCCAGAACTAAAAGCAGCTCTAGAGTCTGTTCTTACTGCTCAACTTGAGACAGATGCAAAAAATCGTGCACAAATGGAATTGCAGTTGCGTGCTGAACTTCAGGCGCAACAGGTTGGTTCGGCTGATGCTCTAAACAGAGGTGATCACGAGACAGCTGAATTATTTGCCGATCAAATTCAACATACTATTCAAAGAATAAACAATTTAAATACCTCCAATCCTCCTGTTATGGCTAGTAACGCATCTCTATCTGAATTCTCTTCCTGCCCTCTCCCTGGAAGAGAAGGTAAGTTTTTTTCATTTTATCAGCTGTTGACCATATTGTCCGCTACTAACAAAATAATAGATTTGATCTATTTTAGTTAAAGTGGTTTGACAACTATCTTCTTCTCAATTGTTAAGCCATTATCTATTCTTTAAGGTGTTTCTCGAGTTGATCTGGGTCCTTTCGAAATAGAAGAGGAGGAAGATCCAATTGCATTATTTGATAGATTGTCGAAGACTCGCCAAACATCTTTAACGATAGTTCGTGACGCGATCCGTACCAGTCGAGCTTGTGTTTTATTGCTGACGCTCAAACAATTTTTGAAAGAATCATATTGTATCACCGATGGGTAAGTCTTCTTGAGTACAATTGTCACATGTTTGAGTTTAAAAGGCTTTAACAATACTTAAAACTGATGCCATCAGCATATTTTCTGAAAATTAAAGATTTCTATATTCAAATTCAGTTTTTAACAATTTGAAACTTACGTTCTATTTTTAAAAATTGCTTGATTTCCAAGTAAATTTTGCATCTAAAAAGTTATGATGAATCAGTTTGTTTCATGAACTTAAACATTGAACTACAGATTATTGAGTAGACACAATAAGGGTATTTCCATCTAATCAAATGTCTTACTTATTGTCTGAAGTCAATGCTATTTCAAAAGTGCCTAAGATCATTACTGATCATTACACAGATGTCGGTTTTCTACAACTTTTTTCATACTTGCTAAGAATCATGCTTTTAAGTACATACAGATTTCAAGTACTTTTGTAAGACTCTGTTATCGAAACTAGTGTTGTTCGAAAGTCAGTGGAACAAAGAAGTACAAATTTTTATAGACTGTTGCATAAGATTAATAAGATTGCCAAGTTAATATGTAGAATTTTCAGTAAAGGAGCATAAATTTCAATTCTTAGTTAAAATTATGTGTATGTATTTACCTGTCAGTTGTGATAGGGATACTGCTACCATAGTTAAACCAAACCTTAAATGCTAATATACAGTGCTCCGGTTTCTGTTACCTGTCAATAATGCCTACACAATCATAAAAATAATTTTACCATCAATTTATTTCTTGAGTTACCTACATTTTTGGATTATTTGTGCAGTGAAGTGTACGATAAAAGAAATCCTATCTTCAATTTTGTCCTGAGAGAAGCATCGTTCCAGTTATTGTTAAGAACTGTACATTTATATTTGTTTGTCGTTCAGATATATCAAAAGGTTAAATAATCAGGAATTTGATATACTGCCTTTCATATCCAAGCTCATTACCCTAATTCATCGTCTTCAAACGCACGTGTGCTCATTGACTAGGGTTTTAACCGCGTTTCGTCATAGCATTTCTGCATTACGTGTTATCATAGTTAAATATGACTTTATTTCCATCGTTACCTCACATTTATATTCAGTTATTATATACCTATTATATGAGTTTCCTACTATATGTATATCTTAATATTTTATTCCCCTTTTGTATTTGTAATTCAGTAAAATTCAACGTTACTCACCGTCTGACTCAGCCAAATTATGGGAAAAGCCGTTAACACGACGTACTGGTGTTCATTTTCATCCAGTACCTTGTTTAAAAGCTGCCGGAATGGAGATCCATAAATTTGGCTCTTATGCTCTATGCAATACTCAATCATTAGTTAAGACAGATCATAACAATATCGAGGTGTCCAATCCCAGTTTCAAACAAGCAGATAAGGAAGAAGAATCCATAAGTGAAATGCAGTCTCTGATCCGAGATTACTTGGACTTCCGAAAGCTAATTCTTACCATTGATCCTCCTGGAGAAGAAGAATTAGGACCTGATGACTTGAATACGTCTATGCAGTCTGGTGGACCGATTGTTGATGATAGGTTAAATACAATTTCAGGTAACATTTATAATTCTGCTTACATTTAGTTCTCCCAAAATTTTAAATGTTCATTTAATAAATGGTTTTCTTGTACTATTAGTAATTTAAATACATTGTGAACTTGGCTTTAAACCTAAATATCAATCACTTTGTAATTTCAGATAGTGCACAGTCGAGCAAAGGTCGATCTACAAAAACCTTAGTACCACAATTGCACAACAAATCTTCAGAAGATGAAAATGATTCCGAAGACTCAAATGTGAGTTTTTTATTTTCTCTTTTATATCAATTTTGGTGTTCTTAATTATTGTTAGAGTTTCATCTCACTTTATGTCTGGTCATAATATACTTGTTGTGTCTATGATTAATTGTTTTACTTTTTTAAAACAAATGATTGATCAAGTGGATTATTGATTGTGTACGCGTTCATTTGAATTTTCAGGCAGGTGGAGCTTCTCGACTTATGTTGGCTCAATCAGCTCCTATAAAAAAAAGAAAACCAGCTCTCAATTTACGTGGGAATTCGAAAAGTTCGTTAAGTCGAAATAGCAAGAATAAGCGCAAACGTCGAAAACGATGCATAGTAAATAATTTTTTTCATTAAACTTTGGTTTCCTTTGTATAAAGAAATACTTTCATTCTGATTCCTCAAGTAATTCTTAACGTTTTAATTAATGGGAAGGCAATCGTATGCTTTGTTGAAAAGATTTTTAAAATAAAACTGTATATCTGCTACATACGATTCTCCGAACTCTACCTATTCTTTAACATGTTGACACTGGAGTGGAGTAAAACACAACTGTACACTTGAAAACGCTAAACTAAATAGAATAAATAATCCTACTATAGACATCTGAAATTCTACGTCGTAACTTTAGTTTCAGTAGTATTTCTTTCCTCATTTATATATGCTATTAATTTTCAAGATTAGTATGTCTATTTTAGTGCTAGAAATATATACGAATAATATATTTAATGGGATTCATTTCCCTTTTTCAAATGTGAAACTAGTGTACAATATTCTCAATATTAAAAAAAAGAAATATTAGTAAGTAAATCAACTGTTAGACGCAGTTGTATACTTAAAAATAAAGTATCATAAATTTGTTATTGTAATCAATCGTTTTAGCTTGTAATTATTTAGCAGTTGGTAAATTTAATGCTTGACTTTAAATTTGATTCCTATTGTGTTTTTTAAAACCTAGATGGCGGCCAGTTCTAGTGGTGAAGAAAGTGAGTCAGCAGACGAGTCTGAACCGTCTGATCTAGATTACTGATCTTAATAAACAGGTCCTCTTACTTTTTTTCTACCACTTTTGGCTGTAAAAATTGTTACTGCGCCACATTTTGTTCACAAGTCAAAATTTCGCGAATTGTGCATTATGGTGTGTTTTTACTACAGACGTTCCACCCAATAAATAAAACAAACCACTATTATCAGGTTTCCTGAACAATCCTCTCTTTGCTGAATACTTCACTTATTTGTCAACTCAAGCCTGATTTTTGTATGGAAGATTTGTTTCTATATCTGTGCACTCTTTTCTTTAATCATGTTTTTCTTCTCTCCTATGGCAGCTTATCTCTTGATCATTATTGTCTGTACGAAAGAGGTGTGTGCTTAGATTTCTGGCTGAAGTTTTACCATACTGTTCTGTAATTATGTAAAGCTATTTTGTTTTTAAAGTGTAATAATGAAATTGTTCAGATCTCATTAATTACGTCTGCGTATATCATGCGTTCTTCTTGTTGGAAATCCGGTCGGTTTTACAATAGGATTACATTCCCCCAAAATAATAATTCGTCATTATGTTCTTGGTTAATATTTGCCTACTTTTTGAGAAACCTTCGATGTATGATTATCTGAAAGTATGATTTGTTTGATTTTTTGCATCAACATCCAAATTTTGACTTCTGTACATTTATGTTTCATACTCAAGTTTCATTGACAGTATGATATCCTTTATTCTCCTTTTACATAATCGCTAATTTGTTTGTGAAGTCGTCTATGGTAGTATATGTTCTAGAAATTTTAATTTTGTACATATATATATACACCAATGTATATTATTTTCATAAGATTTATATGATGATTAACTGATGGTACCGCCTATTCTATAAATCCGATTGTATTTTTTTCTTTTGAAAATTCATATATCAATGAATGGGTTCATTTGCCTGAAGAACGTTTCATCATGCTAACTGACCTGTGTTGAAACACCATCCTTTTGTATATAGCATATTTCCGTATGTTCGTCCGCATTATTCATTCGCTTCTATGAATGACTTATCTTTTATTTTTTCTTTTTTTTGTGTATACTTTAATCGTCCACTGAATAGGCGTTTTTATCGGCTAGTTATTGATAGTCTTTCTTCGTTTTAAACAGGAGTAGTGCTGATATGTAATGATTTGTTCGTTTAACACTTACTCGTCTGTGTATATTTTATCAGCACTCACTATTCGGATACTTGTTCGCCTATTGTGTAAATGTGTTTGCCTGTGAGACTAAGAGTCTAATTAAATTCTACATTAATTTTGCTTTGTTTTCATAAATCATGTTTAAAACATAATCAGCTAGAAGAATTGTTTCTTTTACTGTTGGTTTTATATAGTTTTATTAGTTTGTGGACTGGTTTCGTATGTAGAAGGGCAGCGGTGTATTTATTCGCGTATCTGGACTCAACCTTTTCTTAATCTATCTAGGATTTGAATTTAAGAGCGTTGGTAACTGTGGTAGATACGAATTGTCGGTCACCGATAAAACCTCGATAAATAAAAGTTCAGATGCAAGGTTTCCAGCGCACATTGAGGTGAAGATTTGTAGCTCAGGTTGATGATTGTGTTGGAGCTGCGTTCTCTGAGATGGATGTTTTGGTTGTGGAGTTTTCATCGTTCCTCTGAATAACATCATCAGCACAAACTTCAGATAGAAGTGAAGTATTCGAATTTCTCGTCGTATGACCCGCAGCTTGTTCTGTTACCCTAGACCTTGAAGGGTTGTTACTGACCATTAACCTGTTGTTGTTTGCACCTTTATTTCCATCGTATCCCTCTTTGATCTGTTTCTTGATCCTATGTTTGTCTATGATTTTCCTGGTTGGTTGGTAAATTGGGTCAATGTCAAAGTGTTAATTTCTGATTGACCTGAGTGCTAAGCTTCTAAAAATTCTCTAGTGTTCTTTATGTTCCCCTATCCACTATTTCAACATTGTTCCAACCGAATGTATGTACATATTAGTCTGTATGTATTGATATAAAGGTAGGGATGTCATGGCGTCTGACTGTTAATTGATGTTCACGCTAACGAAACTAAAGAGAGTACGTCCACCTTATCTCATACAGTGTTTTTTACAGTCTGAACGATTTATTTTGTGGATAATATTTGGAGTTTTTTTTCCTTTGGTTTAGATAGGATTGGGTGAAGTGATTCTGTTGGTTTGTGTGCTGCGTCTATTCCAAATGATTTCAGAAGTCGTGCCGTAATTTCCGATATCTTAGTCATTAACAGTTGGTGCTTCGGTGACTTGTTCACTAGTGTTTTGTACGCGAAATACCAAAGATTTGTTGAGGGTGCCATCTTTGTAGTTGACATGCATCTGAATGTCTTGGCCCTATCGCCACACCAAATTCAATTCTCTTTGTCATCGAATATTTTATAGTCCAAAGTTATCACTCCACTCCTTGTTTCACTGCTGTATTTACGAAGATTTATTCAATAAATTTTTAGGAAGTGTTAGATGTCAAACACACCCCTTCCTAATAAAATACCGCAGTATCCAGTTTGTTCACTTTGATATAAGTTTTGAGACGCCAAACGAGTGTTGATAGCATTCAGTCATAAGGAATCACCATCTTACGTCTTTCGGGACCAGTCAGTTGGGTAAAAAGTGGAATATGATACGAACGTAGGTCAGCTCAAGTTGTCATACCACAGTTGGTCAATTTAAATTCCATAGCAGTAGAGGTAGAAGCAATATTGGTGATGGAAACGATTAGGGATCAAAGTTATGGTATGGGAAGTATATTCCAGTGAAATAAATTCTGGGAGGAAAAGTCATGAATTCAGATTAAAATTTGACAGGAGATAAAGAGTGTACGCCCCTGCGTCATTGCAAGCAATTTCGGGCCATGTCGTTCAAGGTTTCTACCGTCGGTTACTATCGTCTCGCGAAACCAAGCCGGGTAGGCGGCTGCACCTACCTACATGGCTCAGTCCAGCTGTCAGTGACTCCATGGATTTGTGCCATGTTTTGGTTTGGCCACCCGTTGCTTCCTTCCAGCATACCCCTACGTCAGATGTCGCTCGACAAGGCAGTTGGTGGTTAGGCAGACTTAGCACATCTCCAGCCCAACCACGTCAGCTGATCGAGACTCACTACTTTGTCGGTCGATTCACCATCCTATCCTATTACTCTTCCTAACACCAGCATTGTTTACTCGGTTTTCCCGGGATACACGAGCAGTGATTCGAAGTCATCTGTAATCGAATGCCAGTAACCTAGGAATATCCTCTATTCTTAATCAGTCAGATGCAACGTAGAACTTGGTACGTAAGTACATTAGTTCATGTTGCCATACCACATCAGCACAGAGATATAATTGTCAATTCAAATCCAATAGTAGAAGAGGTAGTAAGGGAATTAGAAGTAATCGGAGAGATTAGGATTAGAAGATATCATTCAAGAAGTATGATTCAGTGACAAAAGTTTAGAAAGTCAAAAATAAAGGGGTTGAAGAATCTAGAAGATTAGGATTTGAGACAACACAAAGAATAAATGCACCGGCGCCATTGCAAACGGTTTTGAGCCATGTCATTCAAGGTCTCTAGCCATCGATTATTATCATCTCGCGGACCCCAACCACTTAGTCGACAACTACCGACATGGCTAAGTCCACTCGTCAATGACATCATGGATTTCTGCCATGTTTTGGTTCGGCCGCCCCTAACTTTCTTCCAACCTATTCCTACACTACAAAACATAGCTCGTCGATGGTTGGGCATACGCAACACATGTCCTTACCACCTCAACTGATGAAGTTTCAATACTTCATCTATTGATCTGCCATTCCTACCTAGCACCCGTTTCCTAATAACAGCCTGGTTTTTTCTAGTCTGCTCTTCACGAGCTTTCGTTAAGCGTCGAAGTATTATTGAGGCCAATATTTTAGATACTATATTAGTCAGACTTATTCCCCTGTGATTGTCACAAGAAGATTTTTGTCTTTTCTTATGGATTTGGACAATCAGTGATTGAGACCAGTCGGATGGGATTGCGTCCAGTTCCCAGATTCTACCTGTCAATCTAGCTGCTAAAACTGGACCACCATCCTAAAGTATCTCAGGGGTCAGTCTATCAGGACCTGCAGCTCGCCCCAGATTTCCTAACGCTTTCTCAACTTCATAAACACTAGGGGGACGCACGTCGATTGGCCATTCAGGATGACCGGAGATCGTGGGTAACCGAAGAGTGGCTCGAGGCCAGTTGGACTAATCCCTAAAGTGTTCTGCTCATCGGTCCAGGATAGAGAACAAATAATATTTCTATCCTTTCCCGGGATAGTCTCACTCACATTTGGGTTCCTAATACCAGTTTCCTTGATGAGTCTAAATAGTTGCCGATCGCCTCTGCCTTTTCCATCGCGGTCGTTACGTAGGCTTTTTATCAGCCTACGTCTAAGCTAACTCCGCTCCTCAGAGCCAGGCGGGATGAGTTTAAGAGCATCCATCAGTTCGGTAGATACTGCTGAGACCAACGGCTTCTTCCTAGACTTATTGTTCACCTTACTAGCAGATAGCACTGCTGTTCCCATAGCCTTTCTGATATCATTACAACCTGCCTCCGGATGTGAATTGCTTAAATGGTTGCCTGTCTTTCTAGTTGTTTCTGAAATATATTCATGGCTCTGCTATCATTAAGTAAAACCCTAAGAGGCATCCTTACGGTGTCTTTCCCTACTTGAGCATTCAAGTCACCAGCCATTATTACTACATCAGAGCGCCTAGCACTTTGGAGGAGTTACGAAAGCTTTCTGTAAAACTCATCTTTTACATCGTCTGAACTGCAGTCAGTGGGGGCATCGGCTGATACGACGAAGAGGGGTGTCCCTATCTTTCCGAGTCCTTACTGTCCCGTTTAGTCGGACGGCGCAAAAACGACTATCTAAAGGGATCCAGTCTAGGATAGACTGTTCAGCTCTACAACTCAATGCTATGCCTACGCCAGCAAGTCCCTGGGAAGCAGCATCAGGGCTTCCAGACACACGAAGAGTAAATTGAGCTGCTTCTTTATTGTGACAAGGTGAAATCAGAATAATAATTTTATAGGATCCTGTATGCGCGTTCCGAAGACGCAGTTTACATTGACGGTGCGAGATTCTAAAGTCCTAGCTAATGATGCCTGTTGCCCTATTTGACACAATGTCTGTACATTAAAAGCTCCAACATGTAGTTTAGAAAGGGGTTTCAGGAGACCAGGAATGACGTTTCGTGAACTCGCATCGTTTACATTAGCGGTGCAGTGAGATAAGGGGATGCGAGTAGATTTAGTTGTGGAGAGAAGAGAGGTATGTGTGGGTGTAGGAAGGATTTGATTCCGACCAATTTGGTCTCTCATGCTGTTACAGGTATGAGGGCGGTTGTGACTTCCCGGCTGCCCACACCGTGGAAGTTTGTTTCTTGAGGGACCTGAAAAGGAAGATAGATTAGTGTTGGTCTTAACGACCTGGGAGCGTGACCGCAAAGCCCAGCGGACAACTGTTTGAGGCCGGTCACTAACGGCCTTTTTGTCAAAGGTTTTTTGAGTATTAGCCCCGCTTCTAAAGGCCCTTAGTGGGCACCCTTACCCAAGGAGACGGAAATCCGTGAGTTAGGGGAGGTGTGACATTTTTAGGGCCGACCTTTTCTAACCCTTCCTTCCTTGTGAGAAGACAGCATCGCTGCAGATGCTGGTTGTCCGAGGGAAACACCTTACTGCCGTCACACCCGTCCGCAGCCAGCAGTACGACCTCACCCTCAGACCTTAAGTAGCTGCTTTTAGTCTCATCGTTCTCCAATCGACCTGCCTGGAATAGTAGAACCTTCAGGAACATATGTTCCAGCCAATATAGCTCGGTTGGGTCATTACGATAGGTAAGCCCGATCACCACGCCAAGGTAGCAGCTACGGTCGGTCTTAATCATACTGTTTCATACTCCTGAAGTTGAGCGGAGCGAATTGATGCACAATAGGCCCGTCCTTTGGTTAAAAGACGAATATCTCGCCTACGCCACAACTGAAGCTAGTTGACAAAAGCCAGTCCATGCTAAGATTTTGTCACTCACCAGATCAATCGGTGCCTATCTGACTCCCAAGATAAGTGGAGCGGTTGGGTCATCACGATAGGTAAGCCTGACCACAAATGTCAAAGTAGCAGCTATGCTTGGGAGTCCGAGACAAGTGTTGTATCTCAAAAGTTAACTCGATTGCTTGTCTTTTACTAATGGACAACTGAGTGGATTACAAATGACCTACTAGCAGTAAGTACAGAACCCTGAAAATGTAGCAAAATATCGCTACTACTCGTATCAAGTTTTTGCTGTGAAAGACTCATTATTTTGAATATATGTTCTAAAATTGAGCTTTTGACTTGAAAGTCATCTAAAATTGGATCAGGTATCAACTTTATCGCTGTCATCCGTTCGAATATGGGACTGATTATTAGATATGAATTGGACATTGAAAGTAACTACCACAAAGATCCTAATTTTATACGTGATTTATTATTTTTAATATGCTACGCTTCCATAATGCACGTGTACAATCACATGGATTCCAGGTTTAACAATTAATCTAGGCACCCAGATGTCTTCTTGGTAGTGGAGGTTCGGAAGTTTTGAGTTGTCAAATTAGCAATACTGTGCACTTTTCCTAACTGCTTTTAAATTAATTAATTTGAAAACCAGTAAAAATGATTTCTAAATTATGTATGTACTTAATTATATATATATATATATTATACAGCAGAATATTTATCGTAATTATTATCTGGAAAATAATTGGTATGTTGCATCAAAAATCCTGTGGAATCATATACAGGACCATTTATCTGAGGTTGAGGGGCTGCTACTACTTCTGGAAATGATATGTCGTTCACATCTACAAAATTAAGAAGAAACGTAAATTACATTCATCTTATACGAATATCTTTAATAAATCTCTAACAGTTTAACTGATCTACTGACCGTTAATGTTTTATATAGCTGTGATCTATTTGGCGGATAACTACAAAAATGAATTTACCAAAAAGTATTAGTGGGAATACCGTTAAACCAGTCAAGCTAGCAATAAAGCTACTGGCCATCAAGAATGTTGAACAAGGAAAATCAATAGGATTAAATACGAAGACATGGGTTATTGGATACTGACTAAGTTGTAGTGTTGTATTATGTATAGACCACATCTTCACACTACGACAAGTCCTGGAACACAGACACACATTTAGACGTCCGACGATAGTCGTGTTCCTGGACCTTAAGGCGGCATTCGACTCAGTGGATCGTGAGGTTCTGTGGCAGTGTCTGTCATTGAAAGGTGTACCAAAGAAGTACATTAACCTTATACAAGCACTCTACTCGAACACCACTGGTCGGGTGAGAGCATATGGCAAACTGTCATCTGAATTCTCTACTTCAAGTGGTGTCCGTCAGGGATGTCCACTCTCTCCATTTTTGTTTAACTTTGTCGTAGACATCCTCTTAGAGTTAACATTAAGCTCGTCAGATTTTTCAGGGGTTGACCTTCTACCAGGAAAGTCGCTTACTGATCTAGAATATGCCGATGACATAGTTCTATTCGGTGAAGACGCTGACAAAATGCAGAGTCTTCTGACTACCATAAGCAACAATGCGAGCATGTTCGGGATGCGGTTTTCCCCCTCGAAATGCAAAATGTTGCTTCAAGACTGGGTTGCATTGGCACCTGAACTAGTGATAGGGAGTGAAGTAGTCGAGCGTGTTGATCACTTCACTTATCTGGGGAGTCTCATCAGTGCTGACGGTCTGGTGACTGACGAAATCTCAGCACGGATACAGAAAGCTCGATTGGCTTTTGCCAACCTGCGTCACTTATGGCGTAGGCGTGATATCCGTTTGCTAACCAAAGGGCGGGTGTACTGCGCAGCAGTTCGTTCCCTTCTCTTATATGGCTGTGAAACATGGCCGTTAAGAGTAGAAGATGTTCGTAGGTTACTAGTATTCGATCATAGATGTTTAAGAAGCATTGCTCGTATATCGTGGGACAGCCGAGTAAGCAATGCTGTCGTTAGGAAACGAGTACTAGGTAAGGATGGCAGATCAACAGATGAAGTGGTGAAACTTCATCAGTTGAGGTGGTTGGGACATGTGTTACGTATGCCTAACCACCGACTGCCTCGACGAGCTATGTTTTGTGGTGTAGGAGTAGGTTGGAAGAAAGTTAGGGGCGGCCAGACCAAAACATGGCAGAAATCCATGAAGTCTCTGACAAGTGGACTGAGTCATGTTGGTAGATGTAGACTACCTGGTTGGGGTCCGCGAGACGAAAGTCATCAATGGTTAGAGACCTTGAACGACATGGCTCAAAATCGTTTGCAATGGCGCAGGTGCATCCACTCTTTGAGCTTTCTCAAATCCTAATGTTCTGGATTAGCCAGCACCTCTACCTTTGTCTTTCTAACCTTATCTCACTGAATTATATTTTTTGAATAATATCTTAAACCCTAGTCTTCTTAATTAACATTAATACCTCTACTATCTTTATCACTATGGGATTTGATTTGACATTTGCGTCTCTGTGCTAATAATGTGGTATGGCAACATGAACTTATGTACATACGTACGAAGTTCTACGTTGCAACTGACTGACTGACTGCTCGCTGCAATACCTAGAAGTCTTTGGTCCAATAATAGAGTCGATAGTGTATTTACTCAGTACGAGGAAAATTCTGCGACTGATACCAGGTCCTTAGGAACTGCACAGTTTATGTTAACCTGTGATGAAAAGTGATTTCAAAATAAGGTTTTAAGAACGCACTTAAATGGTACAACTATCTTCAGCTAGTTAATTTCAGACTATGTTGTATCGAAAAAGATGGGTCCAACCGCCAAACTAATTCCCCTGTATCATGTAAAATGGTTTGCTGAAGTAAACAAAGGCAAGAGGATCCAAGCAACATGTGACCGTTCACTGTGTTCATCGATTTGTGTGTGCACGACGAAGTAAACAATTTGAAAGATAAGTAATGACATTCATTTTATTTATTTAAACGCATAAATATTCGTACGAATGAAAAGCCTAAATATTTATGCCCCACATGAGTTTGTGAGTGGGCTAGAATACTGCCCGGACGCCCAAACCGAAGCAAATGATTTTCTTAGGAGACCATTCCTCGAGCTTTCGAGCAACAGGATTAGTTCACAAGGCAATGGAGAAACGTCAGGAGTTGCAGTCCCAAGCTAGTCGGTGACCAACAAGAAATTCATACGGCATTCGTCCCATCACCATACTGGAGACTATGTGCACCGTTGGTTAGGAACCAGAGTTTTCTAACTCACCTAGGTGGCTACTGCATTTCCACCAACCTAATCAAAATGCCGGACGATCGCTTTTTGTCCTCCTACTTCCATAAACAACACCCCGCCACGAGAAAGCGGTAAGACTTTCCTGGAAGGGGCAATAAGCATGGGCATATGAGAGCATTTCGAGAGTGGGTGGACTCTCCACTTTCAGCCCTACGAGAGCATTTATTATTCGTATATCTCTCAGCACATTTCACAGCACCTGAGACTAAAGGTCAATATGTTTTCAACAGTGGGATCATCCATTATTTGCTTTGATACTGAATCGTGTAGACTGTTAGTTGTGAAATACTGAATTAGTATCACTAGGGTAATCATATAAATCTTCATGAACAATCCATATTCTTTCCCAACAATTTATAATAGTATATATATATATATACTATATATATATATATATATATATATATATATATATATATATACTATATATACTATATATATATACTATATATATATATATATATAGCGTTTCCCGACAATAAAAAGTTTCAGTTTTACTTTCAATGTTGTCACTCGAATAACTTGTTTATCAGTAACAGCATATAACTATTTCGTTGCTAGTCAACAAGACTTAAGTTAGGGATGGTGGGGAAAACCTATTTTCAGATTAAAAAATAGTCAGGCTTTTTTTAAATTATAAAGTATTATTTACAAAAAAACCAACTAACCTTCCGGAAGTATAGGAGCATTACACGTACTAATTTCTTGGTCAATTATATTGAACCATGTTTTTTCGCATTTAGCACTGGCTTCTGTGTATAATTTGTCAAACTGAATAAAACGACGACGATTCACTTTATTATCTTCTAATTCCAATTTGTGTAATGCTTCAGTTCTTTCAGTTAACAGACTTTTGCTCACTGAATCAAGCCAAGGTCGACCAGAAGGAACTTCCAGCGTTGATGAGAAAAGAAAGAATATTGATGAATATCTGACAAAACGTCTTTTTAATAAGTATAAAAACATGAAAGATAACTATAATCTATTTGTATTAGAACCTAGTGTAGTAATCCTGAATGGTAAATCGATAAATGTGATCAAAGCCTTTAAGAAGTTGAGAAAGCTATCGTAAATTTAAAGTGAGGGCGAGATGCGGGTCCTCATAGGCTTACCCTTCAGATTTTTAAAGATGGTGTTCCGGTTCTAACAGTTGGATTGACTGAGATCTTCAGTAGAATCTGGGAACTTGGTGTAATACCATCCGACTGGTCTCAAGCGCTGATTGTCCCAATTGATAAGAAAGGACAAAAATCTTTGTGACAATCACGGGAGAATCAGACTCACTAATATAGTTTCTAAATTGCTATCCTCGATTATACTTAGACGCCTAACGAAAGCTCGCGAAGAGCAGGCTCGAGAAAACAAGGCTGGTTTCCGACATGGACGTGGATGTATAGACCACATCTTCACACTACGACAAGTCCTGGAACACAGACACACATTTAAGCGTTCGACAATAGTTATCTTCCTGGACCTTGGGGCGGCATTTGATTCTGTGGATCGTGAGGTTCTGTGGCAGTGTCTGTCGTCAAAAGGTGTACCAGAGAAGTACATTGACCTTATACAAGCTCTCTGCTCGAACACTACAGGTCGAGTGAGAGCTTATGGAGAACTGTCAATGGAATTCTTTACTTCAAGTGGTGTCCGTCAGGGCTGTCCACTCTCTCCATTCTTGTTTAACTCTGTCATATACATGCTTCTGGATGTAACATGATCTTCGTTTGAATTTTCAGGAGTAGACCTACCAAGAGACACGCTTGCTGACTTAGAGTATGCTGATGACATAGTCCTATTCGGTGAAGACGCTGACAAAATGCGGAGTTTTCTGACTACTCCAAGCAACAATGTAACAATGGTATGGAGTGAAGTAGTCGAGCGTGTAGAATGCTTCACTTATCTTGGGAGTCTCATCAGCGCCGATGGCCTGGTGACTGACGAAATATCAGCACGGATACAGAAGGCTCGATTGGCTTTTGCCAACCTGCGTCAGATTTCTGTTTGCTGACTAAAGGACGAGTCTACTGCACATCAGTTCTCTCCGTCCTTTTTTATGACTGTGAAACATGGCTGGTGAGAGTAGAAGATGTTCGTAGGTTACTCTTTTTCGATCATAGGTACCTTCGAAGCATTGCAGACATATCCTTGGACAACCGAGTAAGAAATGCTGTTGTTATGAAACGGGTTCTAGGTGAGGATGGCAGATCAATTTAAGTGGTAGTACTTCATCAGTTGAGATGGTTGGGACATGTGTCGCGAATGCGCGACCACCGACTGCCTCGACAAGCTACGTTTTGTGGTATAGGAGTAGGTTGGAAGAAAGTTAGGGGCGGCCGGACCAAAACATGGCACAAATGTATTAAGTTACTGACAGGTGGACTGAGTCATGTTGGTGGATGTCGACTACCTGGTTGAGGCTCGCGAGACGAAAGTCACCGATGGTTAGAGACCTTGAACGACATGGCTCAAAACCGTTTGCAATGGCGCAAGAGTATTCATTCATTTTGTACTCTCATAATCTAACCTCATGAATTCCTCACCGTCTCGATCTTTCTCTTTCTAAAGTCATCTTACTGAATTATACTTCTCGAATCACATCTTCGAACCCTAATCTTTTTTTATTACTGCTAATACTTCTACCATCTCTACCACTATGGGATTCGAACTAACAAATGCGTCCCTGTGCTGATAGGGTATGACAACCTGAACTTATGTACTCATGTACGTTGTAACTGACTGACTCACTGAAATCATGATACTGATTGCTATAGCAACTAGTGAATCGAATACGGCAACATTTTGAAATCGCATCACTCAAATACAAATTATTCTTATCAAACTAATAACTCATATTTATAAGCCTATATATATTATATATATGTCAAACTGAAATGAGAATCAGCCGCAAGAGTTATTTCAAGGTTATGCTATGAAGATTGTACCGCAATAACTGATTAGAAGCTACTAAATACACCTAGTATTCTATTCAGTTTTCCGTACTTCTGAGTTAAACCTCAAATTATTAACAAAATTCGACTGACTAAATAAACAGGGTGGTAATTAAATTAAAAAGTAAGCTTTCTTGTAATTTTATGGTGAGTAAATTTAGAGGAAACTTAATTCACCAAAGAATTTTGGAAGATTTAAGAGTGGAGCAATATTATAAACGGCTAAAAAGACTAGTTATACTGTGCAGGAATGTGAAACTCACGAATTTTAACTTTAGTCTTCGCTCCTCTTTCATTCCGCATATCTTGTAATGCACTATACAATGTCCAGAGTTCATCTTTGTTCAAATACTTTATATGCGTAACTAGCTTCTTTACCCTAAAATATTAGTATTATTCTCAAATAAGTGAACTATTAGTAGAAAGAATAAGCAAGTCAATGTATTACACAAAGTGTAGAAGTTTGAATAACTAGCCACCTTAAAATCATGCCAGACAGAGCCTATATTTAAGCTAGATACTTCATACAATGTGGGAAAATAGATCTTTTTCGAAAATTTTGATATATTTAGTTCATTTTTGTAGTTAAAACTGTACTAAATATGTTTATTAACGTATAACCGCTCAAAACTGTAACGATATTTAAATAAAGTGATATTCAAAAACAGAAAAAGGAAATGATAGATAAGATGTTTCATGTTTTGAAGATGTGAGGTGAATTCGCTCATGCTATTGTGATCGGTTTTGAATCATGTTACTTAGTCTCCGATTGCTGATGCACAACGATGTATGTTATTCTGCAAGTCTAATAACTTTTATGAATAGTACTAACAGTTAGTGACAGCAAACTGTACTGAGCACTTCAGTCGAACCTACTGAGATGTTTGATTAGCATGAAATCTTAGTTTAACATTTTGTGATAACAGTATAAAAAGAAATCACAATAAACTTAACCGTGAACACAATTCAAAGTAATAGTGCTTCATTCTAGAAATTATGATTTATTAATAACATTATTACTAAAGGCAAGGAATCGCTAGAGTCTTTTAAAAGATTTACAGTATATCGTTTTCACAGGTAAACCTAAACACTTCTTAAAAAACAGAAAGAATTTATTTCATAAAGTTGTGAAGGAGTTTCGTTCTCTGAGTTGGATGTTTTGGTTATGCAGCTTTCATTGTGGACGTTCTATCTTTAGTTTCGTTAGCGTGAACATCAATTAACAGTCAGACGCCATGACATCCCTACCTTTATATCAATACATACAGACTAATATGTACATACATTCGGTTGGAACAATGTTGAAATAGTGGATAGGGGAACATAAAGAACACTAGAGAATTTTTAGAAGCTTAGCACTCAGGTCAATCAGAAATTAACACTTTGACATTGACCCAATTTACCAACCAACCAGGAAAATCATAGACAAACATAGGATCAAGAAACAGATCAAAGAGGGATACGATGGAAATAAAGGTGCAAACAACAACAGGTTAATGGTCAGTAACAACCCTTCAAGGTCTAGGGTAACAGAACAAGCTGCGGGTCATACGACGAGAAATTCGAATACTTCACTTCTATCTGAAGTTTGTGCTGATGATATTATTCAGAGGAACGATGAAAACTACACAACCAAAACATCCATCTCAGAGAACGAAGCTCCACCACAGGCTCTCATTGTTCTTATGAACAACAGCCTCAGCATAATATTTTGGTAGAAGTGAAGTATTCGGATTCCTCTACGTATGACTCGCAGTTTGTTATGTTGACCTCGATCTTGATTGGTTTTTATTGACCTTAGAACGATTACCTCATTCAACAGACACAAGCGACAACCTAAGTGAGAGGGTTAATGGTACTATCCGGTTCTTTGTGTGTAACATAATTCGCATCTGAGACTTAGTGGTTGGAAGTCTGTTGCTACTAAGCCACTACTTGATATAGACTTTCTACAGCAACAATAAACTAGAAAACTCTGAATAAAATTGCCCCATTAACGAAATTAACATGAAGCTATGGAGTACTGATGATCAGTGCTTAGCTCGATTTTTGCAAAATACCCCGACCCCAATAATTTGCAGAGTTGCAGTTCCTCGTAAAACGATGATAGATAAGGGAACTATGGTTCTAAATGAAAAAAATGCTTGCAACTAATATACCAACAAAAATAAAAACTTACTCATCAACTTCTGTGTGAACATTGTCATTTGGTGCATTTTCATTCTTTTCCTCCGATTGAACTTCTTTATTAGCTAAGGTTGAATTCGGTACTTCGTATCTAGTAACAAGATCACCAGCAACCATCAAATCCCAAGGTTGATAACTTCGTATAGACACACAACTATTCTGAAACATTTTCCCATTTTCACTAGTTATTACATCTTCGGCAGCTGAAGAATTTTCGAACTCCACAAAAATCACGCGCCGGTAAATAGATATAGCTGAAATGAGATACTTATTGTAACCTCCCTATTAATTATAAAACTATTTCGTGATAGTAACCATCTACTCAAAATGAATTAAATGCCGTAAGATTTCGACCTGCAATTTATTGTCTGAAAGACAAGTTTTCCAGCAAATAAGATCTAGTGATGAATACCTCACAAAGCAGCTGTGTAAAATGTCTGGAGCTAAAATAAAACAGTTGTCCATCGCCCCTTAGATATTAGTCGGTATTACTTTATTTCCTAATGGTATCAAGTTTGATGTGTGACAAAGGATAAAGCAGTTTTAATAAATCGTCAACTTAAGTCATGAGACAACCTATATTCAGTAGGGAAATGCTTCACAATATTTTTCTTATACTTCTAGTAAGTGGAAAAATCCTACGTCAAAATTAATTGTCTTTACCATTTACATGTTTGGACTTTTGATATCAAATACAATCTTTTCGGTTACCATAGTGATCGAGTCAAACAGATAAGAAGCATTTCAAGACCAAGAACTAGAATGTTTTAAACTCTTAAAAAAACAAGCATCAAAAAGTTCGGAACAATGCTACTATCTAATACTTACATTTAACAACACCGAATGGCGCTAACCATGTCTCCACTGATTCTGGTTTTATCTTAAGTACATTTGGCAAATCCTCAATAACAACAGTGCATGTGTCGTCCATGTGCCACGGTGCTACAAATGAGAAGTTCGACAAAATCCCTCTAATTAGAATCACAACAAATGGAATGTGTTTGGATCATGAAGTCAGAGAGATAATATATAACACTCTATCACACAGAAAACATGTTTGATGAACGTGAGCCATATAAGAAACAAATTCGACATCAAGAGTCGAGTCGGAAGTTTGGACTTAAATGCTTCAAAAATACTTGTAAGAAGAATTAGATAAAGGGAGAATAACATTATCAATGACAAACATAAGCGATCGACCCCAACAGCGTACTATACTAACAAATACTGACTAAATTCGTGTGTGTACGCTCTTTTTCTGAAACGGTCGATGGATAAAATACTGATTCCAACACAGTCTTCAGTGGTGAGGGTAAGGTGGTAATTATTAGAACCAGGATCCAACTGAATCACACTTTGAATGTATCGACAGACATTACTTGACTAACGGTCATTATACCACAGCTTTGTTAACCGTTATCGTTAGATAAGAGCATTAAACTTGATAAGCGAACAGCAACAAGAGAGAAGAAATTAAAAGGCAATTAACTAAATAAAACTGAACCTTCAGCGTTTAGTTAATTTGCCTTAAGTCAGGAGGTAACCTTCTGCTGAAGGTAACTGTGCAGCAGCGTGTAATGGAACAGAAAGGCAAAAAGGTGGTCGTAGAACCCACAGAGCACACAGAATGCACTTAAAGATCTGTATTTCTTCTAATCTGACTAGCTATGTTTCACAGTCATAAAAAAGGACGGAGAGAACTGATGTGCAGTAGACTCGTCCTTTAGTCAGCAAACAGAAATCTGACGCAGGTTGGCAAAAGCCAATCGAGCCTTCTGTATCCGTGCTGATATTTCGTCAGTCACCAGGCCATCGGCGCTGATGAGACTCCCAAGATAAGTGAAGCATTCTACACGCTCGACTACTTCACTCCATACCATTGTTACATTGTTGCTTGGAGTAGTCAGAAAACTCCGCATTTTGTCAGCGTCTTCACCGAATAGGACTATGTCATCAGCATACTCTAAGTCAGCAAGCGTGTCTCTTGGTAGGTCTACTCCTGAAAATTCAAACGAAGATCATGTTACATCCAGAAGCATGTATATGACAGAGTTAAACAAGAATGGAGAGAGTGGACAGCCCTGACGGACACCACTTGAAGTAAAGAATTCCATTGACAGTTCTCCATAAGCTCTCACTCGACCTGTAGTGTTCGAGCAGAGAGCTTGTATAAGGTCAATGTACTTCTCTGGTACACCTTTTGACGACAGACACTGCCACAGAACCTCACGATCCACAGAATCAAATGCCGCCCCAAGGTCCAGGAAGATAACTATTGTCGAACGCTTAAATGTGTGTCTGTGTTCCAGGACTTGTCGTAGTGTGAAGATGTGGTCTATACATCCACGTCCATGTCGGAAACCAGCCTTGTTTTCTCGAGCCTGCTCTTCGCGAGCTTTCGTTAGGCGTCTAAGTATAATCGAGGATAGCAATTTAGAAACTATATTAGTGAGTCTGATTCTCCCGTGATTGTCACAAAGATTTTTGTCCTTTCTTATCAATTGGGACAATCAGCGCTTGAGACCAGTCGGATGGTATTACACCAAGTTCCCAGATTCTACTGAAGATCTCAGTCAATCCAACTGTTAGAACCGGAACACCATCTTTAAAAATCTGAAGGGTAAGCCTATGAGAACCCGCTGCTCTCCCTTGCTTCAGATTTCCTATCGTTTTAGACATTAATCGACCGTAAACCACTAGTTAAGTTAACATCACGGAAAAAGGGATTCCGAATTGAAAGGATACGTTACTTTAACGTTAACATTTAGAATTGCATCAGATTTGCTATTTGACTGATAATTTGAAGACACCCGTAGTACTAATCATAGAATTCTAATCCATGAATCCATTAGTTTCAACGACAAATATAGCCTGATAATCGAAAACTATGTACGTCTTCTAGTTTTCAGTTCGACAATGACGTCCAACATTAGACACTAATGTTTGAGCCAATTTAGTAACAAAGACACACAAACCCATGTCTACCTAGGTAGTAAATCTGGGTAACAAAACTTAAAACTCTACGAAGTTAGTTTATTAGGTTTTATTACTTCTCAGCAAACATAGTCACAGTAAACTTCTAACCAATAGTATATTTTTGTGGTGTTGAACCACACTAGTCTTTAGGAGCAGAATACAAATACGACTACTAGAAATGAGCAGTCAGTCAGCTACAACAAAGAACTTGGTGCGGACCTGCATCAGCTTAGGTTGCCAGGACCAATTAGTTCAAGGCAATGAAATTGACAATACAAAGCCCATAGAAGAAAAGGAAGTAGCAGTATTAGCAGTAATCGAAAGTACTAGGTTTAAAGGATATGATCCAAAAATTACAGACCGATGAAATAAATCTAAAATGAAAAAGATCGTGAGGATTCAGAAGAATAGAATTTTTTAGAAGTCAAAGAATAGATACACATGTTTCACTGCAAACGATTTTGAGCCATAAAATTCTGTCTCTGAACACAAATATCCAACATATCCAATATCTCTTTCACGGGCTTTTATTTATTTGAGCTCGATTCTTATTCTTTTGGCACAGCTCTGTGTAGATGGTAGTGTCCAATCGATGGTAGTGTAGCCACCCAACTGCACTAATTCTAATCAGTTGTTCATGAATTTGTATGTCCTGTGATTTGAATGACTATGTTTGTCTCAGGAAAGTAGATTTTCTGGAAAACAGCAACTTGAGATTAGTTAGTTGCAATGCGGAGAATAATAATGAAAAAATTCTAGTGCGAAAAAGATTTCAGAACTAAGTAAATGTATGGATAAGTTCATTAATTGGTAATGAAGATTGTGCGAGAGGACCGAAGTGTAAGCGAGGAAGAGGAGACAGAGACTATGAGCGAGATATAACAAGTTAGTGATCTGAGGAGATGGCGATAAGAACAACTAGCAGGTCTCAAGACATGCATCAGGCACAGCTGGCTCAATTACGATTACAATCGTCTCGCAGCTTACTAAAAACAAATCGGCGGGAAAAATATAGTGAATATATGGGGAACTAAAAGTCATAACTAGTCTGAACACACAGCAAACATCGCGAGTGAGAAGAAACATCAGAACCAAACACAAAACCTTACCGGTAAAGTCGAAAAGTTCGCGCCTAATGTCCAATACCCAGTTTTTAAACATCTTTCTCACGAGCTAGCATAAACTAATTGATTTCTTTGTGCTCGATTATTCTTCTTTCGGTACGGCTCTGTGTATTTGGTAGGGTCCAATCGATGATAGTGTAGCCACTCAAATGCACTAGTTCTAGTCCGTTGGGCGGATGAAAATCTGTATGTGAGTACGTGTTCATCAAGTCTCTTCTTGAAGCTACGGACTGAGGTGGCTATGGTCACCTCGACTGGGAGAGCATTCCAAGTTGTAACAACTCTTACTGTGAAAAAGTGTGCACGAACATGGGTGTTCTCTCTTTGATGAGCAATTTCTCGAGGTTTACCTTGTGGCGTTTAACGTTCGTTATCTTCGATTTCCCGTATATCTCCGTCTTGATGATCGCTGCGAGAGAACACAAGCCCTTGCCACAATTTCTTTATTATTCAAATTGTTTATTGATCGATACAAATATGGGATTTATTTCAAATATGTATAATCGATATTGACATCGAATTATTCAAACTGTTAATCGATACATCTAGTCAAATAACTATATGTGTAGGTGGCAAGTAATGCACAAGTGTACATACGCATACAAGCTCAACAATGATAAAAGTACGAGATATATGTGAGGTGCCACAACCTCAAGTGGTGCGGTGGCGATGTTTTGGGAAGGTGCCCATGTTAGGATGATTCGGTGTACTTTATGTATTGCATGCCGATATGAGACCACTTCTGGTTCTTATATAACTCCTATGGAATAATCAAAAGTGTTAGAGTCTATCTTTGCACTGTTTGTTCTTCAACCCTATCACCCATTTAGTTGTTCGTCTGTACTCGGTCCAGCAGATTTGTGTATCTTCTACTGAGGGTGCGGCGAAGTTATGAGCTTCAAGGTGTGGGCGTGCGTATAAGCTGAAGAGAGTTACGAACAATTTTGGTGTGATTGCACCAAGTTTTTTTCGCACAGGTTGAAGTGTTGCGTCTGTCTTTGTTGTATCCTCAATGTAGTTCGAACTGGTGTTCAGGCTCTCTGTGGTTATTAGACCGAGATCGCACTCTGAGGAGATTGTGATGAGCAGACTTTCACTGAGTGTATAGGTCGTTTGTGTCACGTTTGGCATAATGTTCATAACGTGACATTTCGACTGGTTTAGTTTTAACCCGTTTTCCACTGCACAATACTCAATTGTTATGAGGCCCTTCTCAAGCTCTATTGAATCCTTTTCGCTTTACACGGACCCCCAGATTGTTGCGTTGTCTGTGTAGATGGGTCCTGCTGAGCTGGTTTTATCTAAAATGTCCACTGATGAACAGGAGTGGACTTAAGATGGTCCTGCGTGAAACTCCTAATGTTGAGAGTCTCCAGCTAGCATGCACTCTATTTACGCTGGTACGAAACTGTCTATTCTGGAGGTAATTTCTGAGCCAACATAGTAGGTCAGTGAAGCTCATCTTTGAGACCTCCGTAGTTGGGAGTAAATGAGGCACTGTGTATAAATCTTCCACGAAGTCAAGGAAATATATGAACCTGTATTTTTTGATCCCAGTAGGTTGTCCAGCTGCCTCATGCTATGAGGACATTCTATGTGAATGACCTGCCTTTCCGAAACCCGTGTTCAGCCTCGTAGAAGATTTTCTTCTTATCCACGCACTCCCTCATTCGCTAATTCACCAGTCTTTCTACTACATTCTACAGTATTGGAATTAATGCGACTGGTCTGTAACAGCCTCGGTCCTTCCCATGTACCCTTTTGAAGACTTGAGAGAAAATAGCCTCTTACCATTCGGTTGAGAGTTCACGTGGCTCAAGTGAGTTGCTGAACAGGTCATATAACGGTGAACTGGAGACTTTTGCACACTCTTTCAAGACCATAGAGCGAACACTGTCAGATCCCGGTGACTTTCATGGGCGTAAGGATTACGATTTTCCTAGTGCTAAGTCAGGAATAAGTTTGATGTTCCCTAGAACATAAACTGGCAATAGGATAAAGTAGTAGTATGAAATTGTAGGTACGCAGGTCAACTTGTTGGTAAAGGTGGTGTTAAAGAAGTCAGACATCTCTAGGTTGGTAAGATATTCGTCATTTGGACCTTTGGGGGCACAATCACTCTGATTCGTAGGTTTTCTCCTAGTCATGAACCTAAACAGATACTTCGATTTCGCCTGTATTTTGGCAGCTAGCATCATCTGGAAGTGTTTCATATCACTTCGAACCTTGGCACTGCAGCTGTTTTGCAATGCAAGTAAGAACTACGGTTGGAATTCTTCGGAGAGAACTTCCACTTGTGCCGGACTCTCCCTTTCGCCTGTAGCAAGTGTTCAGTGCCTCGCCTAACCCAAGTTCTCCTCTTTCCCGGTGTGTGATTTACCTGAGGTACATTGTTTAGGACAACATTCCGGATGATGTCTCTTACTATGCTGCCAGTGATCATCTACCGTTAGTCTCCACCATTCCAGTGGCCATGGGGCATGTCGAAAATACTCTCTCATGTACATGTACTTTTCCCTAGTGTAGCAAAGGGAGGGTTCGTTCTCTTCCTTATTGAGTATTTCGTTTATGACCATGTTAAACATGACTGCACCACGGTCACTACTTCCCATTGGCGGATGAGCACGAATATTCTCGACCAAGAGCGAGACCATGATCGTGAATTGTAGCGTGGGTTGTTGATCAACATCGACTGTTATTAGTGTGCATCCATTTTTGGCCTCCCTGTTGTTGTCTCATAGATCGTGGTTGGCTCTAACAATATCTAATGTGACTAGAAAGATCATTCTTTACGCTGTAATAAACCAGAAGTGGTTTGGTTAGGTCTTCTCCATTTCTGAAATCCACAGCCATCAGACGTGGAGACTTAACAGTCGTGAGGTGTGATGGACGGAGCATTCGGGAAGTGCTAATTTAATAATATAATATATATTTATTCTCAAATAACTACGTTACACGAGTCACAGCAGTTTACAGGCAAGATCAAATTGTCACAAATGCTTTCACAATTACTGTAAAGTAATAGCAGTTAAAATTAGTTTAAGAGTCAGTTTCTGATCGCATATTTACACCATGTCACTGACAGAAAACGGTATTATACAGCCACATTTTCAATAGTAGAGTACAAATAAGGAAGGAAGGTGCACAATAGGTTCTTTTGGCGATTTGCCGAGATCAATCGTGAATTTGTTGGGAAAGGTCATATGGAATGCGCTTGATACGAGCTGTGATCCAGACAGTCATGTACATAGGGTGCATGTTTTCTAGAGTCGCCAAGGATTTCCCACTGTGAATGGGGTTCTGAAAGGGAGAAGAGAGAGAGAAAAAGGCAGCAGTGTGGCAAGTGTATATATATAACCAAAGCACTACTTAATCTGTCATGTTGAAGTAGTCCATAAGTAGTAAGTCAAGATAAAATTCATACTGACCACTTAAATTAAATTAAATTATGGGAATATAAGAATATAACACAAAGATAAAGTAGTACAGCAAAAAGAAGGAAGAGTTGTGCAGTGTCAGGTGGATAGAAGAAAAGTCGAAGTAAGAAGCTGGATTTATGTACGTTGAAATCGAAAGAGTAGAGTTTGTAAAAAGGAAACTTTGATGAATTAAATCTCGCACTGTCTAACTGTTTTATTATCATTATTATTATTGAATGCCAAACTCTAAGTCATACTGTTAGCGCCTGAGTAAGAATGTTGCAGGTGTCTCGACAGAATAGCGACCTCAGCATAGTTTTGGAAACATGAACCACAGAAGTAGCAAGCGTATAAGAGCAACCTCAGTGTTACTGATTAGTCGTCTCATCAATCTAAAGAGCCGAAAGCAAACAAAATGTTCTGCCCCACAAACATGGGTGGTTTGAATTCATTGCCCACACCATCAATGTTTGCTGGTCAGTAACTCCACCCTCCCTCCTTTTGTGTTGTTAGGCTCATGTTAAATGTTTAAAAGAAGCTATTGAGTTCTACTTGGTGTTCTATGTCTCGCATCCTGTTGAGAAACACTATTTCTGCAAGTTCCTTCCACAAACTTGTCTGGCTGTTACAACTTATGAACTATTGGTTAGGCATCAACGCTATACAGTTAACAGTTATGGAGAAATAGTAAGAATTTTCAAACAAGATATAAGCATTTTGAATGTAGTGGGGAAGATGTATTTAACTAGCTAAGCAGGAGATATAAAGAGTATCGCGGTTAAAAGCGGAGCAATAGATAACACTAAGGGGCCAAGGTAAGTCAATAGCGTGTAAGTGAGAACAGTATAATTGATAATAGGCAATGTGAAACTCACACAGTTGTAAGTGTTGATAAGGTTGCGCCCAGGAGAGTAGAGTGCATTCTAATCAACCAGTTTACAGTTGAACAGTGTCGATCGACCCAGTGAGTAGAGTAACCTGTCTATTTCAAATAAAAACTAAAGAGATTTATATTCAATTAGAAAAATTAGTGCTGCTTGGGAGTGTAAAAATAATTAAATAAGACGCAGCACTGAGTTCATTGTGTTTAAAGTGTATGCAGAGCTATTAATATGAAAGCAGGGTGCGAGTGAGTTCACGAGCGCAGAAGAGTCAGTGCAACTGAGAGCATCATTAAGAAGTTGAACAAACTCATGTAACCCACTTGCCATGCGTATTTTTGAGGGAGGCCTATTCCATATAAGTGCATACTTAGAGAGGATGAAGTTTTCTGGACTTTTGGATCTATATTTCTCAAGTTTGACCGTAGATACTTTATCTCGAAGGTTATGTGTACATGGGCCATGGATAAGGACTAAACTGCAGGAAGAATATATGAGCTTGTACAGGAGTTTAAAGTAAAGGATCAGATTGGACTTAAGCCTTCTTTCTATAATGGATCGAGCCCGAGTTCAATACATCGGGTTGGATAGTCAATGGGTGAACTATGATTTAGGACTTTACGAGTAAATTTCCTTTGTATTCATTCAAGCTCCAACATATCAGACAGGCGTAGGTTAGAAAATAAGGAAGAGCATTATTCAGCAATAGGTCTTACGCATGTTTTATAGAGAATAGTTCTGGATTCTCTATGAAGGAAGTTACGAAACATGAAACCAAGCATTCTTCTCATTCGGGAAACTTTATTGGAGATATGTTCGGAGAAGTTAAGGTTGTGCGAATAATGCACTCCAAGATCAGTTACGGATGTGAGTTTGGGCAATACATTCCTGTTGAGAATGAGATCTAATTTGGGAGACGTGTCTCCGAAACACATCCAGCCACACTTCTCAGTATTAAGTTCAAGGTTCCATTGCTTACACCAGACATCTACAGTATTGAGTTCGTGCTGGATTGTGTGCAACAAGTTTCCTAAGTCAGATTTGCTAGTTTGATGAATCACTTTTAGGTCATCCGCATAGAGGTAGGTTTTACCAGTGTTGAAATAACTGCGTATGCTGTTGATGTAGATTATGAAAAGTAGA